ACCGTGTATTACCAATTACCATAGACCACTGAGATAGATGAGAATATAATATAGAGTACATTCTTATCTATCTCAGTGCCAAAGACATATAAAAACGACTAGAATATAGCCGACCATTTAAATCATATACATATCTGTATATGATCTAAGGCTGGCTATAATTTGTTATCGAATAATATGACAAGAAAAATGTTTTTATCATAAAATTGAAAATACTCAATATTTTACAGAACATTTGGATTTTTGAAATGAAAAACAAACTAACAAACAAAAATGACTAGTTTTTAACAAGTTAGATTAGAATATTTTTCACATTCAATTCTACTAGTTAAGTTACAAAGTTATTATGAATAAAAACTAACTAGGTAAATTAGAAAGTTAGTTATAAATTAACTTTTTAACAAGTTAGTGCCCACCTTTGCTATATAATATATAGGTACTATAATAGTCTACACGCGAAGATAACGTTGAAAAAAGTGCGTAAGCCATTCTCCCACTCTCTCGAAAAAAAATCAATCGCCTAAGTGAAAAATGTTGTATTATAAGTGAGGACTTTATAATATATGTTATAAAAAAAAAATCACAAACACCATAATTTACCATGAAAAAAAGGAGTTTTATAAACGGAAAACCTTGTTTTATCCATATATATTATAATAATATTACATAGGCGTAACTAGACTTAAAATTATGGGTGGCTAAAAGTATAACCATGTAAATCACTTAATTTGCAGTATTTTAAAAAATAATTATAATGCGCTTTTTTTTAAAATTAGTATTTAAGAAATTACCTACTGAAATAAAATATGAGTACTAATATAAATACAAATTAATAATAGTAACTCGATATATCTATATTTCCAATTTTTTCTGATTTTTGTGATCTAGTTACTAAAATAGTCTTCAAATGAAAATATCTTAACATATTAGAAGTAAAAATTTACAAGGGTCCACAAGAGCTGTACATACACTGATGTCTCTTTACTGACAAGTGGCTAAAATTTTTTTTATCATTTAAATATCTGCAATGATGATATGATAATATGCAATAATAATTATATTATACAAATAACTTTAAAGTTGATTTTCTCGAAATTAATAAAATGTGACTCATACCCCCTGTATTCTAGACACCTCATATATAAATATTATGGAACTTTGAGTCAAATTCGACTCATTATTATGAAATTCACTATATACGAGGCCATTATAATATTTTTAGATTTTATGGCAAGTTGGAAATAGTCCTCAGTGGCGTATTCCACAGAGGGGAGAGGGGGGGGCTAAACACATTCAATTAAATGTATAAAAGTTTAAACAAAATATTTATTTAGTTGAGTAATCAATGCAAATTAACAAGGTGGACTGGAAAAGAACCGGCCTATTTTTCAGAAATTATAGTGGCCGCTGTTAGGTTGACTATACTTTTAATTTTTTGTTTATTCCAATTAAAATTAAAAATGCATATTTCTTATTTTATCACGTCTATAAAATATTGATGTAATTTATTATTTTTCACCAAATTACAACGAAAAATACAAAATTGATAACAAAAACTACTATAAACAATAAAATTTCACTATTACCATGTTTTTCCGATGTTTCTCTCTGATTAATATGGCCAGTGCGCCCCTCGAGTGCAATGATTATTATTGTTTTATTAAAAATAAGTTTCCACTACTAAATGGTTTATATTATTTTTTTGGACTTTTACACGGCCAAATCAAGGGAGGCTTATAGTACTTGTACTCCTTATATTGATTTAAACATTTTGTTTGCTTTTTGTACAAATATCCATGCATATATGTAGTGTTACCAGATGACAAATTGATTTCAGAATGAATAATTGCAGTCCGAGGGTAATGAACGGAATCTTGTCTGTTTGACTAATTTTTAAAATGTTGTACTCGTATACAGATAAATTTTACATTAAAATATTGTTTATAATTTAATGTTATTTTATTTGATATATAAATAATATCGTACTTACAAAATGTCCCTATAAACATTTAATATTTTATTATTTTTTTTACATCATACAAAATATTTTGAAAAAATGCACCTTTATAGAGAATCGTGTGATGTCATTATGACTTCACATGAGAAATATTACCTACCTAATGCAGCGGAAGTATGGTATTTTTCCAATGTTTTTACTACGCCATGAAACTGCAGTTTCTAATGAAAAAACAACCGCACATTATCATTGTAAAAACCATTTTATTACACTTTAAAAGACTTTCTTCAAGTCCACAACCCTAAAAACGACTTCTAGAAAACCACTATTTTAATATTATCAATAAACGCATTTTACAGTCTCATTGTTTTAATCATTCTCTCAACATAACTGTATCACCTTTAATCAATGTGAAGTTATCTTGTTTTTCCTACTACTTACTAAACTAGATATTAATCATTCTTAATCATTAGTTAAAATAGCTCAACATTTTTTTTGGTAGGAGATGGCTTACACCCCAATATTTTTGATATATAATGATTATGTAAACTTAGTATTTACTTGATAAATAAATGATTTGAAGAAGCCTTGGTTGATATTTTGGTACGTGGAAGCTAAGTCCTCTTAAGCCCTCCTCTTTTTGTGACTGTGTATATAAGTATAGACACACATCTTGATCTTATATGAAGGTTTTCTGTTTAGTCCTCTCTTCTTTTAGCAATTGGAGCAATGTATTAATCAGTGTAAATGGCCTATTAAAATAATAATAATATATCATAAAGTTTTGATTTTCATGTTTGTTATTAATGAGTTTATTTGTACCTGTATGAAATTTATAAATAGACTTTTCGGCTCATGATTTTAACATCTAAAAAATCAACAGGTTATTACATATTAAAGTGACAGCATAAGAAACATTTACACATGCAAGGGGTAGGCTGTTACTTCCCCCCAGTGGCCTGATTTTTTTTACATAAATTGTAAATATTATGCAGTTTAGATTATTTTAATTTAGATTAAGGTTAATTACTATATCTTTGATGCGTATCGTAAAGATTTTAGTCAACATGTATGTCAAATAATAATTATAATACAGGTAGTCCCATTGCGATATCTGATAAAGAATTAACTTTTTCACATTTTTTTCATCACTCTTATTTTTAGGGGTGCAACAATTAACAATGTATTTAAACTAATACTCAAATCTATTTATAGAATTTTGGTACATAATATGTTGCTGTATGAAAATCAAAAGTAGATAATTGTTTCATGTAGAATGTTCAAGTGGTTGAAGCCTTCTCACAAAAAGAAAATACTATTGTGCTAGTCTGACAGACCAAATGACAATTGTTTTTGGGTCAATAAATTTTCTTACTTTTCGTTAAAATTACCTATCCAAGATCCATTAAATACAACTCTTACAGTATAGCTTTTGGACCTTCTCTCTAAAGAAGTAATTTTATGATTTTCTATATTATAGAAACCAAACTTTTGCAGTTTTCTTACTGTGTTGTTAATTCTGATGTTTGGTCATGTTAGTTGTTAGTCTTGTAGTTGAATTGTTTGATTTAATGCGATACAAATTTGTATATAGGTAACTCGCTAAACGGAACAAAACACCTTCAATCAAAACCTTCAGATAATTTTAAAGGTGATTATTACTGAATATTTAACTAACCTATATTTTCAATATTTTTTTATTATATTTAATTTTAGTGGGAGAAACAGAATTTTTGGAAAATTCTGATAAATCTTCAAGTCTTGAAGATGTTGAAGTAGATGTCCCTTGTTCTAATCTTCCTAGAGTTCATAAAGTTACTAATTCAATTATGACGCCTCGACTTTCTGCTGCATTAGACAATTGTAAGATTAGCGATCAAGACACATTTCATTTATTGGTAGCTTGCATTGAAAGTGTTTCTCTGAACCCAGGTGATTATGTTATAAATAGAAAATCTATAAAAAATGGAATTAAAACAATTTTTACAGTAAGCTGGTTTTTATTAGAAATTAAAACGCCTATTACGAATAAACTATATGAATGTATGATACGTTCAAATTTTTAGATTTAAATTTGTTAATGAAATACGAGACAAAAAAAGAAACATTGACAGTTATTAACACTCTGTAGTTAATATAATATACTAATTATAAAATACCGAAATCCTCTAGTTTAGTGAAACGCCATAGCTGCCGTTGAGTTCGCTCCTGCCACCGTCACCGTGTTCGCTGCCGCCGCCGCCACAGAGGTTTTTTTTCTTTTATCGAAATTTCTTGAATTAAATTTTAATAACAATTAATATTATATATTGCATTTATAATAAGGAAAATAATAATGAATTGAAAATGTACCTACTACATTGGCGGTACACGTGACCCGTTTCCTGGCATCGGAAACGTTCAGAAAAATAAAATGATAACATATTTTAAAACATAGGTACGCCGCGTACGTTTTCTTCACATGTGACGTACAGCAGCAAAAATCCACAGTTGCTTATTCGTCAATGTTAAGTTCAAGGGGCCAATGCGTCCCGTTGGACGACCAACATTCGGTTGCATTTAATAGTGCAATTATTAATTTTCTATGAATATGAGAAAAAAAATTAAAATCAAGTATTCGTGAGCCATCAAGAAACAAAATTGTACCAAAACAATGAAATTCATACTCACGACGGCCGGACCGCGCGTCCGCCACTATAATAATAAGCAATAACCTTGCCGGCGCTGTCCTTTTTCGTATTTGTCGTTACAATTGGTTATCGGTTGTAACCGTATTTTATTTTTTTTCCAAAAAATTGAAATCAACGGTTTTGTCCCGCATAATACAATTAAATAGTAAAAAAAAAAAAAAATTTGTGTGTAATTTAATAATACTATTCATAATATTTATTAAATTATAATGATTAATTATTATAATAACAATATATAGCATAGGGTATGGCATAAAGGTCTGGCGGTTGTCTACACTGACATTAAACACCTCACTATGGTGTTTCGTTTTAAAAAATTCGAAACGCAAAACGCACGGTATTGTCCTGCAACTGTAATAACACATTAATAATAACGTTTCCCGCGTATCTCTTGTTCGTATTTACGTTGTTCCCGGCGGTTTTCGAATTATAACCGTGTTTTGTTGCAATTATTTTTTTCATTCGTGAAGACATGCTTTAATAAAGTGGTTAAATATTTGTATTTTGTTTTACGTGGTTTCAAATAATGGTCCGTTGCCGTGTACTATGTGGGCCCCGCGAACTGGTGACCGACAATTCGAAATTGTGTTCGAACCGTTTCGCCGACGCCGAATTCGCAGTCGCGAACGAACGGCGACGTCGCTTACGTCCACACGCGGTTCCGACAACAGTAATCGTTAGGTGACGTTATAAATGAACGTTTACGACAGTTTTAATACGGCGTGATGTAAAAGTTCGACAATACACATTTTCGTGCACAAACGCACACAATATTCTCAAATACCTACCTAAACATCGTTTTTAATGTTTTAATACCAAATTCATTAGTTGCAAACTGTTTTCATGACGTTAAACCCCTTCATTAATGCATATATATATATATATTTATAAGATTGGTGAGTATACATGTACCTATTGGTTACGATAAGTACATTTTAGAAGAATGTATTGGTTTTACAACAATGTTTATTTATTTCATTTTTTCTATGTAAACACTTTCTACTAGAAAGCCTACTCCGATTATCAAGTGTAACACCTTTTCTGAAAGGAAATGTTCTCTGGGTGGTACTTTTAAGGGGTTATTTTTTTAAATTCTCATTAATATTCGAGATAATGAGGAAAACCTGGGTCTTTAGGTGAAAAGAGATTGAAAGAATAAAAGTAAGGTTGTCATGGAAACGCATATTGTTGTAATAATTTTACCATAATACGACATATACCTATGGTGACCAGACGTACTCTTTTTCGTAGGACAGTATTCTTTATTGATACATTGTCCTATGTTCTTAATAATAGTATTAAGTATATGCAATTTTTCTTTTTTTTTTTTTTGAAAATTATAAATGATAAATAAATAAATACAAATTCGTAGGAAACATATATTAATAAAGTTTTGTATTTATTTATTTAAATGTTAACCTTTAAAAATTAATTAAATTATTTATACCTTAGTTATATCTGCGTGACTGAATACTTTAAGTTGACTTAAAATTACTTAAATTTCAAAGTATCATCATCATAAAGACAAACCAAATGAGTTGACATTACGATTTCAAATAATTAGTTTTTATAGTTGATAATAACAAAAGTGGTAAAAAAAAAATGTATATAGATGGAGATAAGCTATGGGCAATATGGGTGGAATAGTACATATTACACATTGACTAATTCCCTTTCAAGGGAGGTTTTTTTTTACAATGGAGGACCTAAATTTTAAAATATACTTTTTTTTTGGATTTTTATATATGATCACCATATATATAACATATTGTATTGTTGACAAAGTAACATTATCAACTGAACTCTGCTCAAAATTGTTTTTTTGTTAGCAATGTTTTATCTTTGCTTAAAGATGTACATTAAATTCCTCTCTGTATCCTACCTTTCCAACTTCCCACCTACAACAGTGATTGCACCCATGTGCAAAGTATGTCCGTCCTTTTAATAGCATTATCTTCTTTATTTTAACTTTTAGCTGGTGATTGTTGGTGACGAGGATATGGTCGTGGATATTCTCAAGGTCGATGAAAAATAAGTGGAAGTTAACGCGAATAAGTTCAATGTCAAGATGGAGATAGTAGAAGTTAACATTGATGAGCCTGATGTCGACATAGAGGTTGCTGAAATAGAATTTGATGACTTGGTTGTAGATCCTTAAAGAGATATGCCACAAGTGGTAAACGTTCATGTAATCATACACAGATTATATCGAAATTAGTGCACTTTGGAATTGTAGATGGCCCACTCCAGATAAATTATATTGTGGCTTATTATTTTATTAATTTTTTTTACTATGTCCATTCTTAGTACTCTGTAATACAATTTAACAAAAGTAAATACCAAGGAAAACCTCGGCTTGACTGTCTTAGTATAGTATTAGTGATGCCCTTATAAAATTATACAAAATGCAGGAATAGTATATATTCTGTAGTATCTAATAAATATATAGTATGTAGTATTCTGTGTTATTTAATCTAGTGTACATTTTGTTTGATTTTATTATTAAAAAAATGTTTTTTCAACAGTTCCATAATAATACAAATTGTGTAACGAATTATGCTTTATTTGATTATTGGACGAACTAATGTTCTAAAAAAAGTATTTTGTTTTTAAGTACTTTATAGATGCAAATTGTAGAAATATATCCTGTTAAATGACATGAAATAATAATCATTGTCATTTATCATTATGGAATTACTAAATTTAATAACACAAAATATTCCTGTATTTTTATTGCCAAATGTACTGTGTAGTATTGTACATCCAAAACAAAGTTATTTGTTATAATTATTTATTATTTATTAATTAATTTGTTAAGTTTAAATTTGTAATAAAGTTATGTGTATTAAAATTTGGATAATATGTAGTTTGCATTGCATACCACTATTTAACAGAAACCTTTTAATTAGTAATTACTATTATAGGTATCATGTATTTATAATCAATGGTGTTACTCATGTTTGTTTGATAAAGTTATTGCTGTATATCCTAAAGTATAAGATATCATTGATATGCTCTATACTTGAGGTAACCTACATACAACAGTTACAGTAAACAACCGATATGACGGATATTATTGTAACAATCATCATGAAGTTTTTTTTTGCGATTTTTGTTTTGTACTAAACATGTTTGAAGCTAGTCCCCTAGTCCAGGGGTATATAATTTTTTTATTGAAATGAACTTTAGAAGCTATAGAGATCTTTGATTGCTCTGCAGATACAGTTAATCGACAGAAAGTGAAAAGGTAAAGAAAGTACTTTCAAATAAAATTTGTTCAAGTATACTTCAATATATTGTATAAGTACGTACGAATATTAAATACCTGATATAAAATTAAATTAAATAAAAAAATTTAATGTAAAATTAAATACCTGATTATGTACTTAATAAAATATTTTCACATTTTTGTTTAAGCTATTTATAAAATTACCACAAGAAATTCTTGTTGAATGTTGGCCCTCACAACATTATATTATTAAGCTATGTAGCAAAATAATAATCCAAAAATGTTGTAAATTTATTATTTATAAGAAGACAATAATGTTATCTAAAAACCATAAGGATATTGCTGACATTTTGTGTTTCGGATCTAATATACAGGAAATTAGAATAAAAATATATGCAATGAAAAACAATTTTTGTTAGCATTGACCATTTTACATAAGCATTCATTCGTTCACATTGGTTTAAATATTTTATAAATTCAAATGTTCAAAAGGAAAATTAAGAATTTGAAATTTTACACTCTGTATTCATATTATTAATCGGTAATACACTACAATTTGTTATAACACTTATTGGTTTTAGTGAAAGATTAAAAAAAAAATAATTAAGAATGAATCTTTTCAAATTAAAAAAAAAAATATATTTATATTTTTAATTATTTAATGGATTTTGTTTTTGATAGTAAATATTTTATAAATTTGTGACAATAAAACAAAGTAAAGAATATTTACCATTTATTTTCAAATAACAAAATTAAAATAGATATGACATTTTGTATACAAATAAAAATATATCATCTAATCTTATTTGTATAAAAATAAATTTTTTTAATGATTGACCAACCTTGCTTGTTTTTTATTTTTTTTGAACCATTCAACAGTTTCAGCTATTGCAATTTCTAAATTTGTAAATTTAAAGTTGGGTAGAAATTGTTTAAGTTTGCTATTACTAGCTGTTTTTTTGATTTGCCCATCGGCAGCATTGGTATCAAATTCTAGTACTCCTTGAAAATCAAATGATTTTGCAATCATTTCAGCTAATTGTCGGATTGTTACTTCATCTTTTTCATCCACTAGAAAACACAAAAAAAGTTAAATATCTGTGGTGCAAACAATAAATACCATATCATATTACCTGATAAAATAATTGGTTCTATTTCGTTATAATTTCTTAATGTCCAAATAAACAACTTGGCGAGGTCTAGCGAGTATATGAATTGACGTAAAGGTTTTCCAGATCCCAGTACCACAAATTTTTTTTCTCCTGAAAATAATTTTTCAATAAAGTGTTGCAATTTACAAACTAATATTTTAATATTAGTGTTATTAGATTCTAAACAGAACATGGAAGCAATTATTATTTTTATGATGTCTATTGGCTTTGTGAGGGGTTTGGTAGAGAGCTAATACATTTTTAAAAAACCATTGAACAAAACTGGTTCATTTGTATATTCTTATGCATGATTTTTTTTAATAATTACAGTAAATTGGAAGAAAATTGTTATATTTATTGACTAAATTTCTATTAAAATCGATTTTGCTATTTTGTTGTAAAATAGAAAATTTTTTTGTATAGATCTGAAATTTTCACTAAATAATTATAATAAATCTTTTTAGATGTGGTAAATAGTAAAATAGTAATTTTGAAAATATTTGAGTATTTTAGAATTATTTATAGTTATTTGAAATTCTCTAGTTGGTTATATTTGGATAAAATTGTTTTGGACCAGTAAGAATGCTCAGACATTTGCTTATAAGGTTTATCATAGGGTTGGAATATATAATTTGGTATATTATAAAACCATTTAATTTGTTACACGTAAAAACTTTGTGTGAATAACTTCCATATGAACTTCCACCAATGTATATACAATATCAACTATTATGATAATATATCTATACAATAAATGTTCTAAATGTTTATTTTTATCATACTTTTTGCAGTGTTGCTTAGTTTAACTATAGAAAATTAAAATTAAACATGATATATAATATATACTTAGTTAATAGTTTGTATGTACTATACCTAATATAAATTTACTAAATTACAACTATTTATTCCAAATCTTTTCTTTTTACTTGATACATATGCATTTTCTGTTTAATAGTAAGAAAAATACAATTGCACATTTCAAGTACATAAACTTAATTTGAGATTTCATGTACATAATAAATTTAATTTTTATCCAAAAGATATAACAAAAATAGCTTAAGAAGTAGAGACAAACATATTAATCATTAAATTGTGTTTAAACTAAATATCAAATAAATACAAACTGTATAAAGTTTATACATATATATTATCATCGATATTGTTTATCACAAAATTGTACCATGTGTTAAAAAATAATATTAAGTACTAATAAGGTCACTATTGGGTCCACTAAGTCTACTAATGGGTATGAAAAAATAAAATATCTGACATGATTTTCACTTAAATTTTTGTAGAATTGCACATAAGTATCACATGTTTATTATGCGGATACATTTTTTTTTCAATTTAATTTCAAACCTTTTTCTATAGCTATGTGAAGTCGATGGATAAGAGCAGGTACAACGTGAGCATTTTGCAAATCAAAATTGTCATGTGGTCCAAATACATTACAGGGTACTACCGAAGTAAATATCACTCCATGTTTTTGATGGTACGCTTTGTTAGAAATGTCTAAAAGTCGTTTGGCATAGCTATAACCAAAATTGGATGGATGAGGAGGGCCATTATGAATCTGAAATAAATATGGATAATCATTTAAATAACAACATTTATATTTTAACATTTATTTAGAAGAATCGTGAAATAGAAATTTGAGTAAATGCAATATTAATAATAATGTCAAATTCAGTTTTGATGTATTTTAAACATTTTTATACAAAAATGTAAAATCTACTTCAAATTTATTTTTAAAAAAACATTTTTAACTTCAAAATTTGATTTTTTTTTTTTAAGGGAATTTAATATTCAAGTTTAAAAGTTAAATAAAGTATAAAATAATTATTTGAACTTGTAAAACCATATTTCATAGAATTATGAGCATAAACATTTTGAAATTCAAGAAGGGATTGATATCCTATTTTAAAATTGATATACTTTGCATACATGCAAAATACAATTTTTACTTTATTTAAGCACTAAATAATAATACTAGCAGTACCATAGTTTCATCGATTGGATATGTAGTTTTATCTGGAAATATACAAGTGGAGAGACACGATACCACTTTTTTTACGTTGTACTGAAAACTTGTTTCCAATATGTTGTCATTAATATGTATATTTTTCCGCTGAAAAAAAGGCAAAGATTATTAATAAAAAAAAAAAATATATTTTTTATTTATTTATGTAGTATTCTAAAATGTACTCAATATCCAGTTTAGAGGATATTTATGTTCCTAATAAATAATTCATAGTACTTGTAATGCAGTTATTAATTAGACAAATTGCGCTTTTCCATTTTCTCTGAATATAACAGATAATTTATTGTTTATAAGTAACATTTTTAATTCTTTAACTTTTAAAAAAATAATTTTTCCAAAAAACAATGCTTTCCAGAATACCTATTGTTTTTCATTAATTTCATAATATATGATTTTTCTCTAAATTAAAACTAAGCAAGTCTGCGAAAGTGTTTTTTTTTTTTACAATATAATGTGTACTTGTAAGATAGAAACAACAAATGCATGTGTGGCATCTCCTCTTAAAAGAATACTATAAACTACCTAAATATTAAATAATTAATAATGGTTTTTTTATGAGGCACATAATACAATTTTTACTTTTTGATGCATATCTTACAAATTTCAAAATATTGTTATTGTTACTAACCTAATTAATCCAATTTTCAAGGAAATAAAAATGATTAGATTTTAATAATTATATATTATTTTTAAAATTTATCTAGACAACAGGTACCTATTTGCAAGATATTTTATATGAGTAAAATAGAATTAATGTTTCTTTTTTTTTTTTTTTTTGAATAGATAATCTTATTTTTCATAAAGGTGAAATTAAATTACCAACATGTCCAAATTGTTGTTCATGTTATGAAATAGACCACCAACCATAGCAGCCAAATGTATAACGTGGGTAGGTTTGTATTTTTCAAATAATTCTTTTGTTTGTTGTAAATCACTGTAAACGTTTAAATATAAATTTAAAATTCTTAAACGTTATTTGAGCCAATATTACACCTGAGATCTGCCTCTTTCGAGTTAGTAAATATCCAATGTTCGTCTGATAACGCACCGCTCTCGACTATCATCTTGATGGCACTGCCCACTAATCCCGATCCGCCAGTGACTAAAATTACTTTGGCCATTCTAGAATATTTAAAGAAAATCTAGGTGAAAATCACGTTGTACCGAACTAAGACTCGCAACATTACCTGGTATTTGGATTAATTTTCGTAGACGGTTACGGTATTTTATTTGGTTTCAATCGGCTGTTGAATATGAACCGAGTTTGGTGAAATTTTCCGCACAATAAAACTGTTGGTTGTAACGTCGTTTACGTGGCAGGAAACCCGTAACAAACGCATACGCGACAATAATTGATGGGAAATATGTGAAGGATATTTACTGTACAGTTGACAGTGTAATAAATTAAAAAACAATATCTCGTAGGTATTATCGCCGTTGAAACACAGCGAGTTTACAGCGGAAACCGCCGCCGTCATCGCGTAATCACTGCCATGTTATCGCACAACCGTTGCGTTATCACGGAGACGTTATCACCGAAACCTCCGAGGAAAATAACGCGTTTGCAGCGCGCGTTCGTTGTGGCGCGGACCGCCCGACCGCGGACAACCCTCCGACCGCGGCGCGTGCCGGCGTTGCGGCGGCGGCGGCTGCGGCGGTCTGGCGCATTCACTGTTCTGCCGCAGTAGCGTTTGGCGTGTTTTTGTCGTTGACGCCGGTCTCGGCAGCGCTGTCGCTCGCGGTTCAATGTGATTCGAAAGAAAAAAAAAAGCGTTTTCCGTTTTAAAATCAAATTGATTTTCGCCATCGACATTAATATCGGGTTTCCGTTTCGTTATTTCACTTTTCCCAATCATTTATTTCGTTTCGTTCGACCGACCGACCGGTCGCGGTCGACGTACTCCGCGCGCCGACCGTTCGCGATTATCCGCCGATTCGTCGCGCCGCGTCCGCGAATACCGGCTGGACCGTTTATCATTCGTCTCCCGAAAACCGCGTACGCCCGTGTCGAATCGCCTGCGATCGCGACGGCAGACTATTATCACCACCGCGTAACCATGTACGCGTGAGTCGCGGGTAGGGGGTGTTTTTCTCTCGCGTTGCATACCGCGGGATTACCGCGTGCCGCCGGTTACCATTACCGGAACTCGCCCCCGCACGGTCCCGATCGGCCGCCGTCAGACAGCATCGTCCCTTCGCCGCCGCCGCCGCCGCCGCCGATGATAATAACAATACCATTGTAAACGCACGGACCATACACTACACGGGGATTCGCGGCCGAAACGAGGTACGTAATAATTGCATCGCTAATCGCATCATTAATTATTCAATAATACTGTCGTCGTCCGTTTTGCGCGGTCGCGCTTCAGCTACTGCGCGCGGGTATCTCAGCGCCCGTAAACGTCGGTCGCGTCCTCGGATTCGCCGACGACACCTATTATTTTGTACCGTTTGTCATTGATCCGCGGAGGAAATCGATCGGTCCAGCCGAAGTGTCGGCGACGGCGTCTCGTTGCGCACGCAATAGCGATCGGCGATTTTAACTTTTTTTTTTTTTTTCCTTCCTCTTCTCGACGGGCAATACGACGCCGACGCGAATAATTCGGATCTAGCGCGGCGCGCGTGAAAAACCAGACCGCGTCCGCGATTCGCATGGTACGCAATAAAATGCCCGGCGCATACGACGCGTTCAGTCGTCGCGGACATCTTCGGTAATCTCGCCGGGTTTTGGTGGTGTTGGAGGGAGGAGCAGAGGGAATCTCGGCGACCGTCGAGATAACCGCGGCCGGGATTCGAAGGCCCGGGACAAATGGGCCGATTAGCCGGAATAGAGAAAACCTAATATAAAACAATAAGGTCATCGGCACCATTCTAATCCGGCGATCCGCGAGCAAACCGACCGTTATTGTCCGTTCGGTTTCGTACGGCACGTGAGAAATATCATCGCGTTTACGTTTCGACGAGTACGTGTGCGCGCGTTTCTCGGCGTTCTTCGAATGTAATGATTAATCGAAATGTATAGGATCCGGGGGCCCTTGATCCGCGCGTGCCCCGGTTCCCGATTGGATACTATCGGCAGAGCGCAAAACGATTGTTTGTTTTCGAAGCGCGCCCCCCTCGCCGGTGGACATAAAATTATTCGAATCGCGGAATTTTTTTATCGATTTCGCGTATCGCGGTCGTATTTCCATTTCACAGCGACTTGTTTCGTACAAATGCAACAGACAAACTTTATTTCGATTAAATTCCATCGATATTCCTGTCTGTTTATTCGACGAGACATTGCTCTCCGGGTTCGGCGATATTGTTGTTACGTGCGCCGTTCAAAATCGGAATGTGCATTTTTTTTTTTTTTTTCATGTATTCTCTTTTCCTTCATCTCAACCATTCAAGTTCCACGACGGAGACCACGAAAGCAAATGATGATTTATTTGAGTTGTTACGAAAATTAGTCTGTAAAGTAAACAGGGTATGCATCCACAACATTTTAAGCAGGTAGATTCAATTATACATTTTTTCTGAAAATGCAGTAGATAATTTAAATACCTGCAAAATAACTATTTAAATATGCATTTGTATGCATAACAAATCATTGAATATATTATTCTTAAAAAAAAATTACCAAAATATGCAAAAATATGAAAAAAAATGGCTACAAATATGAACTTCCTAGGTTATGGAACAGATTTTTGACTCACCCAGCTGTGAATAGAAGACATAGACGAAATATGCAATTTCTATATAATTATTACTATGGCTTGGCGTAGTTTTCGAGTTTTTTTTTTTTCTCATTTTAGGTACGCGTATGAAAATTATCAATTTAAATTTATCAAAACTCGTTTAATAGTACTTGGCTCAGGTCGTTTTTCCTTTACAATTATTTACGGTTGCGTACAGATATACATTGAATTACTCTGTATACGAGTAGTAACTATGTACTAATTTAATTTTTTTTTTTTTTTTATACCGTATCGAGAGAAATAATATGCAATATGTATACATAGGTACACGATTTCAGTTTTAGTCGATAATCAAACAATAGAATGTCTGTACAACAGTTTCTTGGTTTCCGAATGGTACGTAACCTAACCTAGCTGTCGAAACCTATCCGCTTAATTAGAACTGTTGGTGATTCCAGGGGTCATTGCCACTATACACTAACCGGCATTTGGAACCATGTCGTCGGATTGATACAATAGTAAAGGTCTCTAATATGGGTTCTATTAAACAAGTTAAAGTGGGACTAGTCTAGCCAGGTAAAACACGAAACAATATAAGGGAGATGATGTGACGATATTCAGTGGAAATGTTCGGGTACACTTGCAGGGTGTTGATCTGCAGTTTCTCTTAGTGGCTGTTTTCGCCATTTAAAAAATATATTATAGTGGTCCTCGACTAAATGTACCAGTCGCCCTTAACGAATTATACACACTACCATAATACCACACCTGACGTAAAATAGGGGAGGTAAATGTGTGACCTGGTGCCTATTTATATGAATCCAAGCAGTATATATTTGTTACTCAAATCGTCTCCGAGTGTTTTCGAGCAAATTCGATTACCTCTATATGCATATAGTCGAGTGTCTCCTATAGCGATCGAATATCGGTGTCGATATTTGTTGGTATCGAAATTATAGTGACTATTCCATAATAAAATCATACTGAAACGTATTCATCGAAGTGTGTTGTACCACGAATATTTATTATACTACACAAATTATTTGTATAGTTACAATTTTATTTTTCTATAAAATATACAGGAGGCAATTCGAGTGTGCGCCATTCTATAACGTTTATTGTTTTTTCTTTTCGCATCATGGCGTGTATCAACCACTGAAGTCTGTATCTCTTTGTATCATTCTTCATATGATTTGTTATGAAGGAAACCTTCGTGATTTCCCTTATTACTTTGTGCTTCCTTCGAGGATTCCTTCTAACCCTGCATCAGTTTGAGTCGTTATGGACGACTTCGTCGAAAACTGGTGTAGTTATTATATAATACTCGTTTTATTCTTAACACGTAATTATCAATGCTTTCTTATTATGCGCACTGTTAATGTATGTGAGTCTTATAGACGTAAAACAAGCTAATTAATTAATATTGTATACTAATTAATAATCTAATTGAATTTAATCTAGGTAATCTAATAATTATAATCTACAATATTTTGCCACGGGCATTACAAGTTCTAGTTGCGCCGCTGCGTATATGGCACTCACTAAAAAAATTTACCACTGATTTAATGTATTATATTATAATCATAGGGTGGAACGCGGTCAATCAGAAGCGGAGTGGGAACCAAATGCAGGCTGGGAAGTTGAAATTTATCTAGGTCATCCAAAAAGAATACGTACCAGCAATTTTTTCTCACTACGCTCGATTTCATCGTTTTAATTGGAATCCACAAAAATAGGTACATAAAATATTTTTTATAATAATTTTCTTTTTAATTTATTGTTATTAATTATTAATACTTATTCGTCAGATAAATTCTTATTTAGTGGAAATAGTAACGAATAAGTTATTCGCATTTTATTCATCGAGTAGCCTTATTCAAACATTGAAAAACAGAAATGTATTACTTTTTTTTTTTCTATCTGTCGATAACTCGTGTTATTTGACTACAATACATTTGATTGAAAACCCGGGCTTAAATTAAATATTATTAGTAAAAATACGATGAAAATAAAGTTCAAATCTAAAAATAGATTTATTTTTATTTAATTTGTGTTTCTATTCACGGAGTATTGATAATATATAGGCAATTTAATTTTTATAATTTTCGAACATATTTTTTTTTCATAACTAAACAATTCAATTACTTATCTACTTTATATTTTTTTTACTAACGAAAAATCATAAATATAGAAATTTCAGTGGTTGCCAATTAGTACTTCTGTGACTCTAGTATTATACGAGGTTGGGCTATTAAATAACGAGACTGCTCGCGCAGAGAGCGTCCCAAAAAGGTTAGGGGAAAACCGAATACAGAGCTGGTTAGCTGGAAGTGTCTATTGTGCCAGTACAAAATTGGGTTTTTGTTGGTGCATTAGTATTTTTTCTGTAGCGTTTAGAAACGAACATGTGTTTTTCTCTTGCCGAAAACGATGTGTGACGAAAAACATGAGCAACGGATAAACGTAAAATTTTCTCGTTAAACTAAAAAAAAACTCCAACTGAGTGCTATAAGTTGTTAAAAGAGGCCTATAGTGAGGATTTCTTATCTCGGGCGCGTGTTTTTGAGTGACATAAATTATTTTCTGAAGGTCAAGAGTGTACCGGAATCCAATTCAGTCATAATCCAAATTCAAAACCATGCTGATCATTTTCTTCGATATCAACGGCATCGTGATGACTGAAAGGGTTCCAGATGGTCAAACTATGAACCAACATTACTATTTGACAGTTTTGGCAATATTGCGCGAATGAGTTCGTAAGAAACGGTCGATATTGTGGAAAAACAAGTCGTGGATCTTGCACCAGGGTAACGCACCTGCCCATAACGCGCTGTCTGTGAAGCGTTATTTGGCCGCTTAAGGCACTCCAGTACTCGAACACGCGTCTTACTCACCCGACTTGGCACCCTGCGACTTTTACTTGTTTCCGAAGATAAAGTCTGCCTTAAAAGGAATCCGGTTTGAATCGATGGAAGAGGTGAAACAAAAATCGGCGGAACTCCTGAATGGTCTTACGAAAACAGACTTCCAGCACTGCCTCGAGCAATGGAAGAAACGAATGAAACGGTGTGTGAAGAGGGGAGGAGAGTATATTGAAGGGGAACATTTGGTTGTGGAATAATTTTTAAAATAAAACCATTTTTCATAATCAGTCTCGTTATTTAATAGCCAGACCTCGTATGTGATCGCAAGTTCCTCTTGTGACTCCCTCCACTCAATTGTAATAACTCTACTACATATATGGTTATTATTTTAATTTTTAATACGATTAATATTCTGGTTAATATACTTTCAATAATATAGTATTTAACAGTTTTGTAAATTTCAATACCTGTAACCTAGTCAGTTTTTTTCCATTTCTTCACGACTTCACGTTTTTGTTTTTTTATTTTATTTGATGTTTATAGTTATAATATGTTGTCATTTTGTATTTATTGCTTGCTCATACATTGTTTTCTAAATGAAAGGTACATTAATAATAATAGTACAGTAATTTCCAGTCTATTGAAACATTTCAGAAAAAAAATGTTTACTATGTTTTTAAATAATACGAGTAGAACCTAAATAATAGATGCATTATATCAAATTATCAGGCTACAAGGTTATAACATAGTCCAGAACTCCAAGGTCATCTAAAAAATTCCTATTTCCAGACCGACCACTTGTCTGCATCCGAATTGTTTACCAAAAAAATGTCCATTACAACTATTATTTTATTTAAATTATCTTGGTCTCCTCGTCAAAGGCATCTGTGTATTTAAATCTTTCGAAACCATTTATTTTTAGTTTTTAAGAAATGTGATACGTAATACTTAGTTATAAGTCCGTAAAAGTGAATTTTAAGCAGTTTAAGTTAATTTACGAGAACGACTGCGTAGTCGTTCTCGCAAAGGGTAATAAAACTATCAAGGCCCGGGAGTAACCGTATTTGGATTGTGAAACGCGTGTTTTATTTCCAGGTCCATCGCTTTTTATCCTCGTGGGTCATCGCCTTTGGTTCGGGTCTATATATGTATAGGCGTAGGTAACTACGTAGAGTTAGATTTATTACAGACTTAGTTTTATTTCTTTTAGAAGAACCGAACGACTATCGGAATTGTCCTCTCGTATGTTCGATCCACGGGCTTGTAAGTCAAAGTTTCAGTAATAAATCAATACTTCTACTTTTATTAAGTGTTGATATATTTCTTTAAAACTTTACTTTTTTAACATATCTGAAGAGATATTGACATAAGGTGCTTTCCGTCAGATAATAGAATTGTACCGTACCACCAGACAAGGCAAGTGAAGTTGTAAGGTGTAGGTAAGTAACCTCGTAAGAGTAATTTAGAAAACATTTATATTAAGTGTTTGGAAAAACACATTCTTTAGAATTTTTACAAAAGTAACTTAACCAACTTCAGCATTTCGATATTGGAATACGTTCAGGATTACGGTAATAGAGTAGAAAAAATGTATTACGAACTTTCAATGCGCATTTTAGACAAACCCGCTACCGAAACAAAAATTATCGTGCAAACTATTCAGTCATAGGCACTAAGTATTTTCATCGTGGGTATTCAATACACTATAAGTAAATCTTGAAAGTAAATAATGTTATAATATTCGAAGAAGCTGTGTTTTTAGCGTTAGAAGTAGAAAAAACAAATTAGTAATTTAAATAAAAATGAACAGTCGAATGGTCAAGCCAAATTTTGTGTTTATTATAAAAAGATAATAATTAAGGATATCATACAATAACCTTATGTCGCAAGCGTACGTTTAATGAAGAAAAAAAATAGAGGTGGACGAGATTTAATTATAAAATTCGACGTAGTTAAATCCGATTTTCGATATCCTGGAATTTTAAGGCGTGATTTTCTTAGAAAAATTCACATTATATTAGATATAAGTCACGATTTATTTGTAATACCAATATATAAATCCACTTAGTAGAACCGGCAATCTTACCGGAACATAAAGTAAAAGTTACCATTGAAAATCAGGAATTAAATGAAAATGTCGTAGTAGCAATTTGCGTTAAGCGAGTTATAAATAATCAAGTAACAAGTACTATAATAAATATTTTAGAGGAATCTTTTATAATTAAGGGGTTGACTACCAGCAATCTTAAGTAGGAACTATACGATGAACAAATTCTCACAGTTAGTAAAGTTCCTGACGTAAATGGGAGCTGAATTGATAAGTTAACCAAACTGATTTCCACTGATCATTTAAAATCAGAAGAACAGAGGAGCATAGTTAGGCTAACTAACTTCCGATTTTTCGGATATTTTCTTTCTAGACAGACCTTTTGACAGTGACGACGATTAAAACACCGTGTTATGATAAACTAATTAATATACGTCCATATAGGTTGCTGTGGGCATATCAGGAGATTAAAAAACAAATAACCGAATGAAATAACAAATAAATGAAATAAAGTAAAATTATATAAAATTCAGTGTCAGCATTTAATTTCCCTCTAGTTGTACCTAGTTGAAAAGACAAATTTGGATTCAAACGGCGGGCCGAAACTCAGATTATGCGCAGATTTCAAACGAGGTCACTGACATCGAAGCCTACGGATCACCAAATTTGGTCGAAATATAAGATTCCTTAGGCTCTTTTTTATATTTAGCTAGCGGGTACCATTAAATTAAAATTTAAAATCGATTTGCGTGATATCCTTAAAATAGCTTTCTCGAGTAAATTTGGACATTATGAGTTCTTACGAATGCCATTCGGATTAAGTTCCGCACCGGCTACGTTCACCCGCGGTGTTGAGCGGTTTAGAGGAATTATATATCGAATATCTAGACGATTTTGTATTATACCGAGTCCAGTTTGTTGGACCACTAGCAGAAGCTGGTATGAGTTAGAAATTTATGTTTATTTTTTTGGCATGAAATTCGAATGCACCGGGCCACTCCGCACCTGTATTTAAAAGATTGGCAGCCCAGTGGATTTCTTTTAAAACTCGTTCGGATTTTAAACTAACGACGATGAGGTTGTCCTATATTGAAAAATTGGAAAAAGAATCTTTGAGAGGTTAGGTTTTTTTATTGATTTGTTATTTTCCAAATAAAGCAAGTGTTATTCTATATCAGTTTAAATATTTTACCTAATAGTAATTTAATCAGATATTTATTAATACTGCCATTTTTAGTGAAGATAAGGCATCTTGTCTGATGTTTGCAATAACTAGTAAAAGATAAACACTATATTATATAATATGTTCACCGTTTACTCACAAAATGTTAATTTTGTTCCTGATGTTTGTTCGAAGAAAGTGAAATATTTTAGTAACAAATTCGGTTCAGTTAAAATTCCTAGAAACTAAAGAAAATCAATTGACTTAAATGTACACTTTTATTTACCTATGGAATATATTAAAATATACGGTTTTTGTAATAGAAATTAAACTTTGTTGTATAGTTTTTGAAAAAAATTATAGTGCGAAATAGCGTGGCAGTCTCTGTTAGATATAGATATAATTCTATAGCTTCTCTTAAGTAGGATTTTATGATTTCCAATGTTTAATTTTTATTTGGTTTCATGTGGATAAAATTATTTGGCTTATTAGAAATACCTGAAAATTTAACACGAAGTTCGTTATAGGTTGCATTTGATGTTAAAAAAAAAGTGGAGTTAAGTGTAGTCATTTTTTTTTTTTCATATATAGAAACACTCTCAGCTCAAATGTTGACGAAAATCGTAAAAAATTTCGTAAAACAACATTTCAAAACACGTACAACCGAACCTTGCTCGGACTGTTTTTCGTTAACAATAGTTTTTTGTTGGTTATAGACATAAATTTAATAACTTTGTGTGTCTCACCTTCCCTATTATCCACCTACAACAGTGGCCGTATCCGTCCCCAGTATCAGTTATTTTCTTTTTTTTTTTTGTACCGCTGTAAAATGACGAGAATAATGGTAACTATTTCTGGTTTTCAGAACTATTGTACTACTAGATTTCAATTATTACATGACTGCAATATTAATTTGGTGTTCGTTCCGTGCACTATCCTGGATATATTTGCTGAAACCATACAAAAGTCACATAATATATTATGTAGTAGATATACGAGGTAGTGCACATAAGGGCGTTCCTAATATTTGGATCGAGTTCCTAAGAAAAAATCATGTAATTGTTCATATTTTTATTTTGTTTCTAGATGATGCTCCACGAGAATTGCATTTTTCCATTTAAAATACACGTGTTTTTAGAATGTTTAAGATTTAATTTATCTCTATGCTTAGTATATTATCCGAAAAAATTGTAAACTGATAGTAATTGACTCATAACTTCGGCGGGGGGGGGACTTAATTTTGAAGGAGTTATAAAAAAACATCAAAAACATCCACAATTCCGATGCCAACACGTCAAAATAAAAATCTGAAAAAATTAAAAGATTTAGTTTTAATTATTTTGAACTAGTTTTTTCACTTAGGAATTTTGAACCTCCCCCCCCCCAAAAAAAAAAAAAAAAAACTTATAAGGAACGCCCTATTGAACATACTCTATAATACTTAAAATACTTTGTAGTAGATCAAATATTTAATAAATGTCGACATTAATACACGAATTTTATGAGAAAAAAAATCCATATTATGCTCTTGGGAAGTTTATTACCATATTTGAATATTACATTTTTTTGTGTGTTATGCATATTATAATACCTACTAACATTTCTCCTTCGTCTGCAGACGTCAAAAACATTGTATCTATCTTTTTATATTATATTTTGCGTGTCTTACAACTTCTGTCTATGAATGTCGAGTACATTTTGAAAATATACATTTCTCGGAAGTAAGAACGCGAGTTTTGTAATTTATATAATCTATATGCAGTATACACCAAATAAACAAAACTAGTTAGGTACAAGTACTAAACTTATTGGGCGTGGTTATAATTAATCATATTTTCATTGTAAAAAAAAAACTTTATTCTGCTTTATTGGGCGTGGTTAATAAAATTAATCATACTTTCATTGTAAAAAAAAAAACTTGGTCGGATAAAGGATAAATTTTGAAAATGTTCGATAAATTATCCTAGTTTGTGTATCATTAGTTAGTAAATTCTAATACTACGATTCTAAAAATAGTTATTCAATTTTTTTTATTTTTTTTTACAATATACGTTTACAGCTTTTTAATTAATATAATATATAGATTATGAATAAAACATGGAAAAAAAAACAAAAATTTAAATAACAATAACATTTGTAAATTAAATTTAAAAATGATGTGTCTTACAATGTGGTCATCGCTTACCTCACTATAAAATATCCAATAACAGTTTGTTAGACGTATTTGTAGCTACTATAATCCGATCAATTGGATTGTTATTTAAGCAATTCAACTTAATCTACCTGCATTAAATAAGTCCTGTGACCTAGTATTTGCTCCACGTACTTGAAATTTAAATTGTTCAAGTAGCCTGGGAGCATTTAATTTACCACTAATAAAGCCATGGATGAATTTAATAGCGAGCCTTTGAAGTTTAATAGTCAATAGGCTTAAACCTAAACTATTAGCGATCGGGGTGTAATCGTATGATTGATGGGAGATTTTTAATAAATAACCAGCGCACCTCATAAAACGTTTTTGGACATGGTCAATCTTCTGTAAATCGGCTTTAAGATACGGTAATCATACTGCTGAACCATACTGAATTATAGATATTACTTTAATGATGAATATTTGTTGGTGTATATAGGTTAAAGGTTTGTATAAATAAATTTTTGTCAACGACAGTTCTATAATTTGGGATAAATCCGATATCCAATAAAAATATTGTCAGTATTATTCATTAAAATAAGGAAAATAAGAGATTTAAATAGACTTATCCACTGGGCTCTCCATCCATTTTCATATTTTATGAGAACTCATACAATCTCTACTTTGATTTAGTATAGAATTTTGTTGTGCATATCTGCTCCATCCTTAGTTACAATTATAAAAGTAATCTTTTATACGCTGATTTTAATAACGAATTTTTACATAATTGTTTGCAGTTAGTGTTTTTGCTGTTGTTATATATTTTATAAATTATGTATATATTATATTTTAAAAACCCTAAATAAGTATATACTTTTGATTGGCAAATAGGAACTCCATTTTTCGAATGCAGATTCGAATAACACCAATGTAGTATTTACTATTTATGAGTTATGACAGTTTAAAGTTTAAACCGGAGGAGTAAGGAATGGTTATGCGTGATCATCTATATGTATCTATATCTATAGATCTATAGATGGATATATAATTCATAATCTTTCCCTACTTCTCTGGTCTAAACTTTTTAAACTTTTAAACGGTAAATCTAATACTAATATCGGACTTGCACGCCAACATTTTTAGAAAAATATTCTCTATAATCAAATCTGTGTTCAAAAAGGGCGTATCCTGATTGAAAATCAAACTTATTTACTGATTTAAAGTATATGGAGTAGGGTTGCAAAATTAAAAATATTTTTAAAATAAAGTTTAAATGATTGCACAATGATTGAAAAAAAAAAACCATAAAATACTTAAAATCTTCGGAGAAAATGTCTAATTCATAATAAAATGATCTACCTAAACCTATCCGATATTATATGAGTATGTGTACATGATTTAAGTTTCCGTATACTTATTTTTCATAAACTATTTTTTAAATATATTACCCGTAAATTTACATTTTTGTTAAACCCATAATTTATTTTTGGATAACTATTAATATAAGGCTTCATACTTTATACTCGATTTTATATGTTACACAATGTCAATATACTCTAATCTTTTAATACTTACGTAGAAGTACAGGAATAATAGTTGTCATTGTTTTTTCGAACCTAAAGAAAAAAAAAACGTTTTTTTTCTTTGAGTACAGGACAATTTTTTTTTTCATCAATATATTCAGTGATTATTTCGGTGGTTTTTAAGTAAATTATAATATGTTTGCTTTTATTTTTCAAATTAAAATTAAAATTATATTAACTTTTCCCCGTATAGCCTTTTAAATGCTTTGTATTTTCAAATAACAACCCCCATTTTCAACTTAGATTTGAATTAGGATTATTTTTCTAAACATTTCGATATGCATAACACACTTAACTTGGATATACCCACCATTCATAAATTATAAAAGATGACTATTTAGACTGGAGTATAGTAGAGAAGAATAATAAATTTTGTATTCATTTTCGGAAAGTTAATACAGGAGTTTATATTAATTTTAGACAGGTTTAATAAATAAGGGTCATATTTCAAAAATATAATCAGAACATTCTATATAATGATTCGGAGAAAAAACTTTAATTTATTCAAATATTTCATAGATCATCGCTTAATCGCGATCAAAAATATCAACCTGTGTAATATGTGTGCTTAATAAATAAAGAAGGGGGGGAAGGGTGAAACAATTTATTAAACAAACACACATACACACACACACACACATACACATACCCTTAAGTAAAAGTAAATTGGTATTTAAGTTAGTTATATACCCAAGTATATATACCTAAATCTAATATGATATGACTAAAACTAACACTTTAATCATTATAAGCAGAAGTATGAACATTTTATTTGCGGAATTCGATTTGATGCCATTTAGTTGTTATGATGGTGCATTACGTTGATATTTTGTCAACGGGAATTTTTGATTATGATCCAAAATGTTTAAAATATACTTATGACATATTATGTTTTATTTTTATTTATAAATATCAGGGGTTTTAAATAATTTATTAAACATCGAAATACGTTCGTGTATGCCTTTTAAAAAGGCGCCCACGAATAAGCTGCAACTGTCTGAAGCTGCAATGTTTTGTTCCGTGATTCGGGAGTCGCAATCGATTTGGTCGGTTGTTGTTTTCGTTCGCGGTCAACGTTTTTGGCATCGAATCCGCATATACGAAAATATTCTTAACTAATAAATACCGCGAGCTTACAACAATATTGCGGTGGGGTTTAATCTTATTATAATTTCCGCATCGTTGTTTTATTTGCGCAGGATTCTCAGAAAAACGTCCGTATTACGTTTCAACGTTTAACGTATCAATTTATATTTTTACGTGGTACGGTAGTTGATCAAATTGAATGAAGATTGTTGAAAGTCCGACGGTGACACACGATAATATCCTCTCTTGTGGTCATGCACATAAAAAATTTCATCTTTCTAACTTTATCCAGGCGGTCTGTTGGGGTATTTAAAACTTAAAAAAATAGTCCTCTGCATGGTAAAATTCACATTTAAATTCAATTAAACTTTAATCGCTTCAACCCACCTATAAAGTTGTTATAAAACAACTTTAGTTTTTAAGTTTAAGCTCATTTGGTCCGAAGAGATGAGCGGATTACCATAAATCACTAAAAGTCTACATAAATCGAAGTATTATAGTGGAGAAATGTTATTGGTGGATATACTTGGGGTGATCAATCCTTGATAACACCTATTATCTCAAATTTTTTTTAAAAAACGAGCAGTTTTAAAATGTTCCTTCACCGTACTTTTTCGTCGTCCATATTTCTGAGGGTAAACTGCTTCCCAATTTTTATTTAAAAATAGCAACTTAAATTAATAAGTTCCATAAATAGATGAACTTTTAGTTTTAACTAATTTTGATGTTGACATTTTTATTTTACGTTTAATATTCTACCTTTGCCATTTTATTGGTATGAGGAGAGTAGTGGAGCACTACTTAAACGTCGCTTAAATTATGCGCCACCATATACTATTCTTCTACTAAAACTTAAACATATCAACGCCAACATTTATTTAAATTAAAACTTTATCTCTTTGAGGAATTTTTAATGTAATTTGCTATTTGAAAATCAAAAGTGGATCAATAGTGGTTTCACGTTTCATCTATAAAAATAAGGGTGACAACAAATAAAGCCAGTATTTCATTTCAAAGCAGTTTTTTTTATAGATTTCCTTAATTAAAAAAGAATCCCGAAAAAAGTTTATACTTTCTAGGATAATGAGTGGCATCGAGAATTTATCACGTTGTATAACAGTCTACAATATTTAGGGAAAATTTTATAGAATTAAAAATGTTTATATATTTATTGATGCGATTTGTATTTTGGTTTACAGTTGAAAATGGTTACGCTAAGAGCACCGTCATTTGTCGTTCGGCGAATATGCGTGTTTGTCTTCCTCGGTGTTATGGGTTATTCGATTTTTCTAATGACCCGAAACAATTCGTATTACGACATGTCTGACAGAAATGTTATGTTGTAAGTATACTTGCATATTTTTTTTTTAATCATTTAATTTAAGTTATTTCCAGGACAATTTAATAAAAATGCCCTGGAAATAATGCAAAAATAGATTATTACCATAGATAATAGATTATTACCATAGATAATAGATTATTACCATAAGCGATAAATGTACTATTAAATATTTGTTAGATAAAATTCTTTCAAACTACCTGTGTGTGCAGAAAGTGCTCGTCGTGCTAATTATTCTGGTGGGCAACAAATTATTACTCCAAACTGCTGTTGCGTATCCCATGTTGAACAAAAACAAAAACAAAATATCCGTACCCTATTCCCCTTTGTAATAATAAAATTTTACAAAATATAATTTTATATTATATAATTATCTTTATTATAGCCCAAGTGATATTATATGTAGTATTCCAATAGGTTATATAGTTAATTTGTTTAAATTAGTTTTACACACTGATGTTGTCACGTATTTGCATGCCAAGGCAGTTATAAAATATTATATTTTAACCATCGCAATTGAATGAACAATAATAACTGTATGCCTGTATGTTACGAGTAATATATACGACTAATAAAAAATTACGATATGTGTGCGAACAAAATTTTTATTCTACTATACACCTTCCTACGTCCGACTAAGAATATAAATATTTACTAAATATTCTACAACAGACTTTTATATACATATATTTATAGGGTGATTCATTGTCAATGGTACTTCCTTTATTAAAAATTACATAAATAGACGAAGTATTTAGTTTAAATGCATTTTTGTGTTGAAATTGTTGATTTTCGTCAACCCGGTGATGAAATATTCTATTCTTAAGCTTGGATAAAGGGAGTGTAGTAAAGTACTATTCAAATGCTGTGCCGCCACTCAAATAACGCTATACTAAGTGGAATATCTCGTCAACGAGTTGACAAAACTAAAACTGTTGCGTATCCCATGGATACCAAATGTATTTAAACTAATACTCCATCTATTTATGGAACTTTAAATATATTGCCATTGAAAAATCAAAATTATATTGTCGTTTCACTTCAAAACGGGTAATGCCACATTTTAGAATATATTATAATTCCGAAAATTCATTTTTTATAATGGACAATTCGACTGTACCGTGCTTTTTGAATTGCCCATGTATTCATCGAAAATTGAATGGCATTCTCGAGAGCTAAGTATCTAAACCTAACTCAACTTGTTGTTTTCTCATTATTGAGAAATACAAACAAAGAGTATTCTCTTTCCTCCAGACTTTCTTATTGCCCACCTTTCGTTTTCCTACAATAGAATGTATAACACTCAAGATAAAAAATTTTACTAGGTTTTTTTAAATTTTAAATAATCTTACACTGTAAACTAAAAGATAATAAAGGCATTTAAGACCGCATAACCGGATTCAAGAGATAAAAAGTGTGTATATGTACCTAATAAATAAATAGTAACAAATGTAAAAAAAAACGCAAATGTGGTCGTATCAAAATATCATACTTTAAATCAGTGAGTCATATAATAATGAATGTAACGCATCATTGTATACTTAACGAATAATTACTACTTAGTATTTTTCTACTATTATTATTTTTTTTTTTTTTTTTTAGAAAGCAAATCGAAAATGAAATAATAAAATCTTCATACGATCTAGATTCCATAAAAAAGTAAGTTTTTTTAATTTTCAATGTCTATATTATTAATTTGGGGCTTTGAACCAAGAGTGAAGAGTGAACTCTACCTTTTGTAACATTTAAACGGATAGTAGTTTTTTTTTATTAATTTATTTCCAGGTTACGTTGGCGATAGGTTAAAAATATTCTAAATTGTCCAAAACACGATTATAAATAGTATGTATATATGATCGTGGTTCAAAGCCCAGTTTGTCATTTTGAAATGATATTATATTTAAAAAATAAATAAATATAATTACGTATTTAATATATAATGTTTATTATTAATTTGATTTATGTGTTGCGTTTAATTTGATTACGAAATAATGTTTACCTATACTTACCTAGTATAAAGTATGTTTGTAATGTTTTGCCTCGTGTTTTGCATTGTCATAATTGTTATTATAGTTTATGATTTGTTTAATTCGTGTTTGAATGGCCATTTTTTATTTTGTGAAGTAACGGGAGGATCGAAATTCACGCTACGAACCTAAAATGGTTATAGCTGTGCGGGCCGGGGGCTAAGTAAAAACCTCTCGTTACGCGGACACCAAATTCTTCGTGTGCGTCTTTACCCACCGACCGGGAATGTGTATGTATGTATAACGCTCATCATGAAGTGGTAGGGTTCGCCGGACAAAACAAGTGTGCGGCGTGGCGTTGTGTACATAATAATATTGTGTGTGTAGGTGTGAGTCGTGTATAGGTTTAAAACTAATGACAAAAAGGGTAATTAAATAAATGGTAATTCGGAATGGTAATCACTTATTTGAATTGCTGGTACAAATAAATTAATCAATGAAAAAAAAAATAGGCATGTATAAAAATAACAAACGACAGTTTGCATTGTCAAGACTTAGTGACGAGTAATAAATAATTCAACAAAAAATATTAATTATTTTTGACTAGCAAATCGTGGTAAAAATACCGATTTGCTCGATTGGCGTTTCGAAATATGAGCTGCTATTAAATGAAGATGGCTGCATACGAATCAATAAAAGTATTGATAATATTAGATTGCCGTTATCCATATTTTGAGATTAATTCCTGTTGATTCCAAAACCATCTATTCGGTTTTTGTCAGATAATTATTTCGGTAAACAGTTTTCAGTAGAGTCCTCTAATCGTTTCAGTTTGTAGTTTTTTTTTAATTAAAAAAATTATAAATATATAATATCATGTTCATTTACTCTCGAAATAATTTTTTTGCATGTATGTATTTAATTTCAATCTAATATGTTCGCATAAATTATGGTAGGTATTGCTTGTGATGTTTTTATTATAATTTTTTTTTTTTTTTTTTTTAAATTTTTTTTTTTTTTTGAAATCTTGTTATTTTATTATTTTATAATATATCTCATATTGGTTGTATTTTTCGTTTTTTTACTATTATATTATTTATTTTTATATTAGCATGAACATCAAAATCGTATGAATTATGAATATACAAAAAAAGAAGAGAAAAAAATAGTCTGCTTGAGGTATACAACATGACTGGGTTACATCAGTTTTGATTGGTAACATTAGCTTTTTTTTTTTTTTGTTATCAAATAGTTAAATTTGTTTATCATAAAATGCAAATTAACCATACATACATAAATATGGGTGTATAATGCACTGCGGATTTCTAATAAACGTTGAATAAAACCTGGGAATTGCATGTTGCAGCTCAAAAAAGAATTTAATTCACTTTTATTTATAATTGTATACATATTAATGATTAGTGGACACCAATTGTAACAATTAATAATTTATTAAATTGTCTTGATTTTTGGTTTCGGGCAAAAGTAATGACGGATTTGGTTAGGTTGAGTTTAGATGAATTACTTATTAATTAGTTATGTTTCTAGAAACTACGAGTATTTCAAACGAAATTAATATATTAAATAATTTCATACGGCTACGGTCCATTATATGACGTAGACGCCCGCTAAAAAAGCTTTTTTTTTAAATTTAACCCCTATAGGGGGCTAAAAAGAACTGTCAAATTTTGTATATAATATCAATGCACAACCCAAATCGCCGGGTCTAGAAACTTAAAATATATTTCACTTATAACGTAGAAAATCATTTAGGAAAGCTTATAGGTTTAAGAGGATGCCACACCGACATCTACTGTCTCAAGCAAGATATAATCATTTTTAAATTATGATATTCAATGTACTCATATTTCATTTAAAAAGAAAATTATCAAAAAATCATCATCGCTAGGGCATGTATAATCTTCTATCTTTAAGTTTGGTTTTAAGTTAATTCGCTTTAATAATAAAACTAACGTCACAAAATGTGTTCTACTGAATCCAAACTTGTTATGTCTCGTGTTTGTAAGACGGAGACAGTAGATATCGGTGTGGCGTCCTTTCAATAAGAGGTTGAAAGGGAGTTAAAAAGTTTTAATACATTGAGTAAATATTGTATGCTAATAATATAAATTCTGAATGCGTATTTAACTTGATTTGTTTTTATATCGCCTCAAAAAAATGTAATTTTTTGCATATATTGGAATAGTTGGAGGACTGGGAAGTGACATACGCTACATTGCATTCCGGAAGAACATCTCATTTACGTGAACAATTTATATCTCATCTCTAATTTTTAAAAAATGTATAACTCTTATGTGTTTTAACGTTCTTGCGCCTTTAGATAGAGCTTAATAAAGACTACCGATCTATATCATAATAATAATAGGTTATTTCGGAGATTTAATTCTTTGAGGATTGAAAAGAGGTGTCGAAATTGGTGTAGAAAAATAACTATAAACCCATTAGGAATTATGATACATCGGAACGACAGAGTTGCGCAAGTAGACAACAGATAATTTTTGTATTTTTATATAAAACTGAAAGATAAGGTAACTTAGGTAAACGTAGAATAAATTAAATTTCAAAGGAAAATGATTCCGTATTTATAATTCAGCTCATGGGAACCTAACTCGTGGGCCGCGGACCGGTGATCGAAGGTATAAGCCAATCGTTGGCAAATTTTATATTTTTTGTATTATTATAATATAAACGTTTATATTTCGATCGAAATTTAGTAATAATCCCGCAATTATCGCTATCGTATAATTTCATTGATTGTCATTTTTTTATCTAGCTATATTAAGTACTCTAGAATATTTGTCGTATTTTATCATGCTCGGCGTAGAGTTTGGGTAAGCTGCCGCTCCCGTGGGAGTAATACAATATCAAAAATCGCATTTTTCATCTTTAACCACTTGTTTATAAGTTGAATACAATAAAAAAACTACTTTTTTTTATACAAAAATATTTTTTAATTTTTCCTGTACGGTTTTTCATAACTAACGCATATTGCAATATGCGCGTTATATATTATATATCTACCTAATATACATATTGTATAAATTATAATATTATATTATTTATTGGTCGCACGTTTACAGGTGTCTTTTATTTTTTTATTTTTACCTGTATATTAATTTAGTAGGCCTTAAAATATTTGTAACTGTTTCACTGTGAAAATTATGTTCATAGTTTATCTACATTTCCCCTACCCATTTATCTTTCATATACCCCGTAGAAAAGACATTATAAAAATCTATGTGGACGAAGTCTCGGATTACATAGCTAATATTATTATAATATAATTATTGCCGAGCTATAATACTATAATATAGTTGATATTTTCTATGAACAGATTCCGCTCATGGTTTATAATTTTTTATGATGTAATCACAAATTACAAAATAATAATAATAATAAAAGTTTTTAAAAAAAACCTGATACTATATTGTTGTAGATGGGAAGTATTTTACCACTAGATTTTCAGTACTAGAAAGCTATCACGTACACAATAAAATAAAAACAATTTTAATAATATATTAAATATATCAAATGATTAAAAAAATTACATTATGTTTACCTTTCTTCATAACCTTAAAGATAATAATAATGATTATAGTAATAATAACAATCCTTAATCAGTTCTTTAATTTTATATTTCTATAACATTTGACTATACTAATATAACATATTATGTGCATAAATTCGTTTTATTTATATTTAATTTAAGTTTATTTTTATATTTTTATTTATATGTAATTAAACCAAAAACATTGTTATCAGTAACCAGAAGAAGGTAAAATACGGAAACTGAGTATTTACGAAAATATTAACTTAAAACACATTCTAAATCAGGTTTTTCAAATAATTTTTTATATTTTAGATTCTTTAGGTTTAATTCTATCGATACATGTATTTTTTTTTATCGGAAAACATGTTTTCCGTTAATAAAAATGCCACAATTTTTTCGTCGTATTTTAAAAGACGTCGATTGATTATACCTCTGATCGTACTTTTATTTAAAAATACTTTCGAATTCCCAGGAGTTTTTTTAAAATATTAAAAAACTTGATAACATATACTTCAATACTTTGGTTTTATTTTTGTTGATTTCTGGTCATATATTGGATAAAAAAACTGTATAGTCTTACCCACAGTTTATCGAGAGTAATTTAGAATCAGTTTTTGACTGCACCTTAACCTTATAAACGAAAACTGAAAAAACTAAATTACTTTATGTACTAAATTATAAATACTTCCTAGCTTCTCACATATAACAGCAGTCAGGTGGCCTCTACCCATGGTGTGAAGTATGTTCGGATTTTTTCAATTTCATTTATTGAGTATAAAATAATTTATCGCATTGTAATATTAAATTATTGGTACCAACTACCAAATAAAAATTAGTAGTGTATTATAATTCGTTAATTGTTACGAAAGAAAAAAATATTAAATACAAAGAAAAAATTCTAATGATATCTATAGAATCAGCCTTGGGCCTGCAGTTTTCTTTTAATAATTGATCATATTTCAATACTTGTACATTTGTTGTGTATAATAAATATTGTGAAACAGTACGCACACGTTTTTTCCTCCTCTGTGTTATGTTTAGGTTAGGGTCGTTAAATCCGTCTTTGTCTTATCTTATTTCAATCGATGCAGTTTTTTTAAAGCATTTCTGCAGGACCTCAGCGTCTACCAACCTTCCACGCAAATATTTTTTGGGTAAGGCAAATCTAAGTTTTAAAACATTCATAATGCAATATACATAATTTCCCTGCAATGGACCACCTCCGATTTTCGTTTGTGGCGTTGATTTTGTCTGTAAATGGAAACAATTTAACTGATTCGTCTAATTTACAAAAGCATTTTCGTATAATCTAATTTCGATATTTTCATATTTCTTATCTTATTTTATGACAAGATTCGCTATCGCGTAACATGATAGTCTCATTTTTCACACCTTTCTCTAAATATTAAAATTGCTATTGTTGGTACTAAAAAATTATTCGTCGAATATGAATGTATGATATGTATAATGATTGCATTAAAATGTTTAGAATAACACATTTTACAAATGGGCTATTTTGAATATTATAAAGTTTTTTTCCCCGTGATTGAGAGATGGGAATATAAACTTAATTTTGTTCTACACTTTTTTCCTCATTCCTCCTCCTCAGATTGAAAAAAAAAATTAATATTGACAAAGTTATTAGCATGCGGATAATACCGTATAAATGTGTACCTAAAAAAAAAAAATATCGTTAATAATAAAATGTTATTATAACAATCAAGCTAAGTTTCATTAATGGGTGGCTGCATTTTTAACTCTTTCATGTTTCTTTATAATCTTAACTTATAATCTTATTGTGCAATTTTGTATAGATTTTTAATCTTTAATAAAGAAAAAATATATAAATATTATATTATCGTTTCATACGCAGAATCTAATGACCTCGACTATAACACATCAACGTTGAACAACGTTGTATAATACAATGTCGAATATTTTATCATTGTAAAAATCGTACATATAAAAAATTTACTTTATTATACGCTGTACTCAAAAAGTCCAACGTACTTCGCACCATGAGACCTGAGGTTGGTTGGAAGTTTGAAGTACATAGACATAAAATAATTTAGTAATTTAGTTTATATACTGAAATGGTAAATCATTGTGATCAAAAAATGATTCTGAGTGAAGTAGTATTAGTTAAGAGAAAATCGTACCTTATATTATATATTTCTGTTTTTGTAGCCGAGGTATAACCCAGGAAATAAAACCAAACAAATCATATAAACTCGATGTGTTGACACCTGTTGTCAGTTGTTAAAATATTATAGAAAAACCGTTGGGAATCCATTGGCATTGTTTTCAAATAAAGTGCCATCTGGTAAAATATCTGCATATTTTGAAATACGGGATATGTAAAAATCAGAACCTTTTTAGTTTTTACTAGCCCAAAAGGTGTTTTCTAATGATAAACTCATACACAAATCTCAATAAAACTAATAGCTCTTTTAATCCAACAAAAAATAGAATATATTATCAACGGGTGGATGAAAGTTAAACACTTTATTACTACCATTTATTTTAACTAAAATGTAATTTATTTAGGGAAATTTTAATATAGGTTGCTATTTGGAAATGAAAAATGGATAGGAGTTCACAATCGTGAAATAAGGGTGACAACAAATAACAGAAATGTAACTTTTTAGTGCTGTTTATTTCATAAGTTTTTCCAAGAAAAAAAAAATCTGAAAAAGTAAATACTTTTCAAAATAATGAGTTTTTTACCGAGGAGTAATCACTCTGTTTAGGTACGAGTAAAAATCGGTGTGAAAATTCGCGGACGACGATTTCACTATTGTACATTATTATTATTATTATTATTTCAATAACACAATATTTAAAGGAGAGGGTTCCCACGATGCGGTGCGTGGCTCGGTGAGTTTGGTCTCAGGGATGCCGGCTCCGTTAGAATCCCTTGATTCCGTGTACAAAAATTCGGTTCCCTTATGGGTATATTAGTACAAAGAAAAACACTAAGAGCGCTAGCAATTCGTAAATCTGCGCTCTGATTGTTCGCTGAATTTCACTCACGATATTTTTGTCAAACAACGTGAAATATTATTTTTTTTAACAATACAATAATACGTATAGATATACTACGCATGGTTATACTTAGTATAGTATTGTACAAATGTATAGATAACAGAAAAGACCGCCATCAGAGATCGCAGCGGCCAGTGGATTCACTTTTTCGGCCAACTCGATCAACTATTTGTTATCTCAAAAATTATCGGCAAGTCGTATCCGCGGAATTATGTCTGTGTGTGTTATCCATTATGTACCGTCTTTGATGCCAAAAAAAGAAACAAGCTGCGCATTTCATCAGCGTTCCCATAGACATACGACGCGCCAAACCTGCTCATAGTTTATAACATTGAAGCACGTGGCTCACTATGTCACGTGCCGTGGGAGTTATGGAGACATTGTCATAAGACAGAATAGATATAAAGTTATTTAATTCATTTCTGTAAATAAAGATAAACTATTGTTAACGAAAAACGATTCGGAACGAAGTTCGAGTGTACGTGTTTTGAATGGTGATATACGATTGCGTACGTTTGTCCCTTTTAGTAGCCCGATTGTGCACAAAAATGAGTGCAACGTTGCCTACATGCACTATTCAGTTTATTTACTATATGTATAAAGTTGTTATGTGAAAGTATAACATACGAATATCTAGTGGATACAGTAAATTAACTGTTAAGTAAAAATTATGCATGAATTAATACAAAATTATTCCAAGTTATATTTTATCAGGTACTATTGAAATAAAACCAATAGTAGTCAATTAAAAACTATTATAAATTAATAAATTATAACGTAAACCTTGATATCGATAATCAGTTCATGCAGAAAAAAAATGTACCTAATACATTACCATCTATTTTAAATTATGCGAATTGGTAGTTGTATTATATGTGGTTATTTTTTTGGATAAATTTAGTGTTGGAATAGTAGTCATGGAAATAATGTCACAATTACGTTTATCAAACTATAGGTACCTTATAGGTTATTTGATCAAAAGTTTTTCCTAAAATAAGTTAATTTACAAATTTTTCAAAAATCTTACGCATGTGAACATGCAACGGCAACGTTCCATTAAATTTGGGTAAATATAACGTACGCAAACGTAATAGTGAAAAAGATCTGTACGCAATCGTAACGCATCCTTTTTAAAAAACCGTGATTTTTACGATTTTCATCAAAATTTGACCTTGAAGACATGAAAAAAAAAAAATACTACATTGCACTTCTTTTTTTTTTTTGCCACTTGGTAAAACTTATAATGAACCTCTTGTTAAAAACTGTAAAAACTGTACTTAGGTTCTGTCAAACAATTATATCCGCATAGTACCTAACAAATGAAAACTACTTAAAAAACTTTTTTTATACGTTTTATATTGTTTCTGGTTTTTCTCAAATATTATTGAAACTAGTTAGCGAATCAAAATATGGCATTCCTTATGCACTGACTTGAATCAAAATGCTACATAAATGCTCCTTTGTCATTTTTTTTTTCGGTACTAGATTTCTGGTGAAAAATTTATTAACTAATAGAAAAAAAAAATCATCACAAAAAACACATATTATAATAGTTTAACCAATATATACCTCGCTGGGCTGAGAATATAAAATTATCATTCGGCATCCTTCAGGCAGAATAATATAATAGTTGAATTTATTTAGGATTCTGTGATGCAATAGAAGTTGGTCGCTATCAGTTGGTGATTTTATCATTTCCCTCGTATTATTATTATTATTATATACGAGACTAAGTACCTAATTTCTAAATTATTTAATTAATTTTATCTATGGTTAATTTAAAAAAAACTTTTTATCATCTTACTTAATTATTTAATTACTACAAATAACTACTGGCATGCAATTTATTTAATAAATATCTATAAGATATATCGGACAGTTTGAAACAGCAGTCGACTTATGCTGCGTCCAAAACCAATTATTTTGTATTCTTTCATAATGTCATCTCATCGTATTAAATATAAATATACCGAAGTTGTCTTTTTTTATTCATATAAATGATGATTCATTAATATTATTTTTAGATTCTAAGCGTAGCTAGGAATGTATTGTTTTTTTTATAATGTGTTTTTTTTTTTGTATAATGTAAACAACTTTTCTTCCAGAAATCTTCCTCGATCAAAAAATGCGAAAAAACCTTCTCTGTTAAAATTTAAATCTAATTAGTAAATACGTCATTTTTTTTGATTTTCCATGTAGTTTTCATAATAATTGGGAAAATTGTAGAAAGACGTAAAAAAAAGCCAACAAATTTACGGCGTTATCGATTTAATTATTTTCAATTTTCATTTCTACCAGAAATATTGGTCTAAATTTCAATATTATCACTTTTTAAAGATTTTTGAGATATTTATAGGCATTTTACATTCACGAGTTTTTATTTGATAGGTATTTTGTGGATACAATTGTTTTTTGTAGGATTGAAATGCTTGAAAATTTAACACAAAGTTCATTATGAGTTTATTAAGGTTTGAAAAAAAAAATTGAAGTAACTTAGTAGTTTTTAGATACTGAGCGGAACGAGGAATGTGTAGGTTTTACAATAATGTTTATATATTTTTTTTTTCTAAGAACAACTTTTCTACTAGAAATTTTGCTGATTTTCAAGAGTAGTATTTTTCTAAAAGGAAAATTGAATCGTGTGGTACTTTAAGGTGGTCATTTTTTGATTTTCCCAGGAGTTTTCTTAATATATATAAACGAAAAACTGAAAAACGGGAAAATTTACGATACATATTATTTTAAAAAAGGAAATATTACAGCCCTAACATGTGTAACCTAAATCCGCTTGGAATCGTTTTTCGTTAGCAATGATTTATCGTTGCCGACAGATATAAATTAAATAACTTCGTGAACCCTAACTTCTCAACTTCCCTCTGACAATAGTATCACAACTGTCCTCAGTATCAATTTATTTTATTTTATTTGTTTATATTTCAGAACTCTATCTTTTTATATGAATTTTATGTATTGGGTTACAATGCCTATACACCTAATATGTATAATATATAGTATAGACTATAGAGTTTTCGATATTTTAGTTTTATAACTTCATTTATGATAGTCTACTAAATTGATAATTAAAACGTTATAAAAACGAGTTAAAAATATTTACTAAATCGATTCGTTTAATGTTTAACTCTGACTTTAATACCAGTGACACAGGAATCAGGTTTTTTTGAAAGGGGGGTATAGTATCACATCATATCGACATCATACTTAAAAATAACACTTTTTTAACACATTTTAATACATGATTTATTTCATTTAAACATGGATGGAAGAGAATGTCCCTGTGATTGCGCCATTTGCTTAATGCTGTAACCACAACTGTATAATAATTTGTATAGATCAAGGGTGGCCAAATTTTTTTGGTAGAGATTTACTAAGAATATATTTTGCTTTTGTTGATCGACTTCCTAACAAAAATGTATAATTATAAATTACTTAATAGGTATTAGTAATAACATACACGTTAAAATAATAAATCTAGAGTAAGCGTATAATTAAATAATAACTTTCATCGTATTATTATTATGACCAATATAATATAATTGTAAACACAATTGCCAGTATAAACGCTGTTGAATTGTATTACTTGATCAATTAATAACAAAATAATGATAATACATATTATAATAAAAATGATCATCAATTAAGATTTATATCTATTATGTAATTTCACAAAAATAAATTCTAACAAAAGGGAGATCGACATTAAAATCGACCGTTTGGCCACCCCTGGTATAGATAATAATTTTATTACTCGTGTATTTATATACTAATCCGTGTTATAAATATAGGATTATAAAACGTTTTGCGGTATTTTTTCTCGTATCTCTTGTGTTCGCCAGAATATATTACCGTCATGCAAATAATCGATATACTCGTACTATAAGGAAAAACATATTATTCGAATTAATGTCTACGATGTGTTTACACGCCCTGCTATAATGTCGCTACTGTGCCTGGAGAGTGAGTGATAACTGAGGCTGTGAATTTGTAGGCAAGTTCCTTTTTTTTTTTAGCTAATTGTAAAACTTAACTTTCTAAGTACATAATTTGAATTATGTAACAACAAATTCATGTATGAAACTTTGATTTTGAATATTTTGACGTTTTTAATTTTCAAGGTAATCCTTTGGACTTTTTTGTCACACTTTTCGTTTTAGTTCATATTCCGGTATTTTAATTAAATTCCGTCCATTAACATTTTTACATATATATATATATATATATATATATTTTGTTTTACACAGGCTATATAATAAACGTCAAATTTATATTTGACACAAGCTGTATACGGATTTGGCAAAGATAAGGATTCGATAAAATAAGGCAATATATTGCAGAAATCAATTTATTCAACATTCAAATTCGGTTAACATTTGTATAATTTTTTTTTATTATTATTTAATAAATTTGTATGCATATAATATACTAATATCAAAATAAATGTAAACATTTCATTAAAAACTATTTTAAATTAATTTTATATTGCATTCTTAAAGTTTTTCTTAACTGCACTGGTAATAACAATGAACAAATTCAAAGAGCGGATTCTGCTGACGGGTGTGCCACTATTGTAGGCCGGATAGTGGAAAAGTAGGAGGTACGGAGTTATTTAATTTACACCAGTACGCAACGATAAATCATTATTGCTAACGAATTACGATTCTGAGAGAATTCCTTCAGTTAAGCACATTTTGAAATACTTTGACTTCTAAGATTTTCATCAAAATTAAAAAATTACTGTATTACACTCAGTACTATGTTGACCACTAATACAGTTAACTAATAATAAACTTTGTGCTTATCCAAAACAATTGTACCCATATGAAACCAAATAAAAATCGAAAAACTCGAATGTGTCTAATGCCTTTATAATAATAGTTCAACAATTTTACCACATCTACAAATGGTCTTGAACTATATATTAGTAAATATTCGGTAAAAAATGTCAATGTTTACGATTATTTTTAACCAAATTACGGCAATAAAACAAAATCGTAAATAACAGAAATTTGTTATGGATTTGATCACAGCGGAATAAAAAATAAATGTTCTAATTGTTGACCTATAAGTCGAACCCTTACATTATCCAAATTGAAAAATGTTTAAAAATAAGGATACTAGAATTCTTAGATAAACACAAATTCTTTCACAAAAAGGCTTTTTAGGAACAATATGTCAACTAACGATGCATTATACAATACTACTAAATTTATTTATAAGAATATTGATGATAAGCAGAATGTAGAATGTACTTGGTATTTTTCTAGACATAATAAAAGCATTTGATTCAGTGGACTATGATATTTTATTAAATAAATTTATTAACTCGTACTTAAAGGGAAGATCGCTTAGAGTTGAAATAGATAATCAATAAGGTGACCTGGCTAACATTATTTACTCAGTACCACAGGGTACCGTACTTGGGCCGTTATTATTTATAATATATATCAATAGCCTTCTTATTCTTTGTACACAGGCAAAATTAATCTGCATTGCTGATGATACAGTTATTCTAATAAAGAGTTATAACATAAATGATTTACATATTATAGCAAAGAATAGTTTTACAACAGTTAAGAATTTGATGGATAATAATTCGTTATCAATGAACATGGGAAATATATTCATTTCGGAATAAGAAATACTTCGTTATCTGAAAGTAGAAATATTACCGTTCATTCGCATAGCTGTCTTAATAACATCAACCCAATATTTATTTGCAACCATCTTATAATAAATCGGGTAACTTTATTGAAATAACTGGATATTTACTTTGATGAAAATCTAAATTAATGTGAAATATTCACATTAATCATATTAACAATACGATTAAACAATTTTGTTTACATTTTTAAACCGCTCAAACATATCTTAAATTATAAACTTAAAAAATTAACATACATTGCACTTGTGCAATCAATAATTTCTTATGGTATTCCATTTCGGGGTGATACATACAAAACACATCTCTACAACCTTGAAGTAACACTGAATTCATTACTCAAACTTACTTTTTAATGTGCCTCACATGTATCAAACTTCTAAATTATATAGAAAACTAAATATATATTAAATCTAAAATATTTGTTTATTAATGTATAATGTTAATGATGACATTGCTGTTCCATGTCATAATTATTTTACACGATTTAAATCAGAGATTTATACAATTTTGTTGGGATCATGGTTTAAATATAACTAATTTCAAAAATTTTCTAATTTATAAAAACTATATTAATACTTTATTTTATTAATGTGATCTGTTATCTAATTAACAGTTAAAATTCATATATAACCATAAATTATCTATAGAGCTCTCACCTCTAGCACAGCCATTTTAAGGTGATCCATCAGTTGTTAACTTTAAGCTTATGCTTATATTATTACATTGTAATGTCTATTTAATGGAATAATAAACTTATTATTTTTTTTTTTTTTTTTTTTAAAGTCAAATAAATCACCTCTTTCAACCTGACGTACATTATTTTCTCAAAGAATCAGTAATTGATGATTGGAGCAAAATTTCTGACGAACTATAGTTGTTTACTGACAGAAAAAATCCCAGAATCTAAGAATATTCGATGAGATTCTATCGTCGTTTATAGGTTCTAATTGACTTGAATTAAACGATACATTGGTTAATTTATTCTATTTTGGTTTATTGTGTAACTCGTTAAATCTAATGTTGCGAAATTGACCCTCAACGAAATTTTTAAGTATGTATTTCGGAGAAAATAATATATACTACCATGTAATTTAATTTAATTTCAGACGATAAATACTCGTATCTCTTACTTTTTTGGGTCAAAAAAGGTATTCCGACAAACATCATGCAATCTTTTTTTATATATATTAGCTTTTCGTTAGTGACGATGATAGGTCGAAAATTATTTTTAGTAGTACAAAATTATGACGATAAAAAAAAAAACTGTAACAAAATGGAACAAATGTTAAATAAAAAATAAAGAGATGAATGCGTATTTATTTATCATGCATTTAAAAGGGTTCTAAAACGTTTTGTTAACTTGTCAATTATTTTTTGTAGTAATTGTAACGAACTGAATTCAAAAACTCTAATCGGGCAATTAATGTTTGAGCCTATAAGTTAATATATATTTTGATTTAATTAATTTTTTTCTGATTCAGTGTATTTGAAAGTCTCGTATTGGTTTTCTGCATTAAAATATATGTATATGTATCTATTTGTAATTGTTTGGAAAGACGAAAGACTCGCATCAATTTGTAGTCCTTTGACTAGAAATCATATTCGAAGCCTAAATATGAGACGGAAAAAGTGCCTCTTTAGAATTATAATTATCTACTAAATAATCACTAAATTTTTGATTTTCTGGTATAGTTGACCTTTACATAGGTCTACAGCCCACACGGTATAAAAATAAAATATAAGTATCGATCTAAACTTTTAGTGATTATCTGCGTTATCTAATTAGCATTCACGTACCAATATGCTGCAAATACATGGCAAAATTTTCTTTGGTTTTATATATCATCGTAAAATAACAAGATTAGTGACAAAAAAAAACCCTATATAAAAATAATTATTCCAATGACTACATGTTAAATATATCGACTACTTTTTGAATTGTGATTTACTCGATGATGAATTTTTAATTCGAAACCGGTCGTACAATACACATATCATAATACTCCAGACGGCACATTTATTTATTCATTTATTTATTTATATATTTATTCACGATTATTAACCAATTATTAATTTTGTTTTTACTTTATTATTTTATTACTAAATTTTAAGCGGAAAGGGAAATTATTAGTGTTTTGAAAATGTTTAAATTAAGTTGACTTTTTGAACATTTTGGTTGACATCCCTTTTTTGAACCCTTTTTTTTTTCATGTACCAGGAATTTTTTTTTGAAAAATTAAAGTAAATTTCACTTGTTTTTTTTTTTTTAAAGATACAATTTTGAAAAAACTGCATTTCGAAACTTATGTAACCGAACTTCGCTCAGAATTATATTTTGTTCGCAATGGTGATTTTCAGCTCTTTATGTAGATTTTCACTGCTACTATACTATAACAAACGCGGGCTCGGACAAATAAAACAAGTGTTAATCACGACCGGATATTAAATTAGAAATTATAAACGCGTACGGTTCACGTATTTGCAGATCCCACCCGAGTTCAAAACTTAACCTAGTTGGTTATAGGAGATCTATAAAACGTTTAGCCTAATTTTACGTAGGTTTAAATTGCTCCAAGAAAGGTAGTTCGCCCCAAGTGTAAACTTAAAACCTACTACTTATTCGACAGAATGCTTCCGCGAATTCATATAAAGCAGAAGTTAATTGGAAAAACCGAATCGATCTTTCGGTCCATATACCCAATAAGGCTCCATGGAATTTCATATTCTAAGGGCGAACCCCGGTGAAAACCTTAAACCTAGTAGTCCTAGTCGATGGAAAACCACGACGGTTTGCGTATTTAGATACAGCTTGAGCCAAAACTCGCTAATTCGGATAGAATATGTAAATACGCGTACGGGTCCCAGCGAGTTGTACTGTACGTCAATATTATATAACTGGCAAAAGTACAAAATAATATTGTAAAAATACTATTTGTATTACGTAAACGAGTTAATCGGAACGTCAGAAACGTATTGATTTAACGATAATCGCCTTGAGACAGGATTATTAGGGGATAACAAGGGATCCGCGTCAGACGATTAATATTTTTCTCGTATCTCAACCGTTCCTTAACGGTTTTTAAATAAAATATATATTTCACGTAGCGTTTTTAAAGGTAAAATCGTTTATTGGATTTTTTTTATGATAGTCGCGCGTCCAGAGACTGTGAAAAACGACCCGAAAGTGCAGCATATCACGTTAGGTTATACGATTTTAGGTCAAAGCCAATGACTGTTTAGAACCTTAATAAAACCCGTATTTTAATCTATACAAATATATCTGACTAATCCGTCTCGGATTTCGTTGATTTTAATGAATTTTTGTCACGTCCAAAGATTTTATAATCGATCGCTGTTTCTTTTGTAGCTGCTCGTTATTCGACAAAATCCCTGCAGTTACGCAATTAAAGCCATGCGAATGCGTGCGTGGCGACAACGCGAGAATTGGCTATGGAAATCGTTGTATTATATTATTATTTATTATATGCATGTGATATGGTATATTATAATATGAATGAATCTAGAAGGCTGTTAAATTGAACATTAATAAAAAATTACTTATGAAAAAAAAATATATATATATATAAGTATTTATCTCACTTTACCGTTCCCCGTTGTTTTTGATTTTCAGTTCGAAGAGTGACAAAAAGGCGTAGATAATATTATTACTTTTTTTAATTTTGTCCGTACCCAATTAAAATATTATTGGAAAACGAAAACAAAAACAATCGATAAAACTTTTAATTGGTTGAGATGTTTGTTTTTGTTCTGAAATCTTGAAGCGTAAATGAAGTGTGACGGCTGCACGTAAAACGAAAAGTAAAAAAGAAGCGATGTTTGAGTTTTCTAACGTAAATATGACCGGAACATTATAATAGATTATTATAATAACGTTTCGATAGAATATAGTGTTTTTTTCCTTTTTTATTAGTTATAGCGATGTGTTTTATTAACCTACTATTATTATTTGTTCATGCTTGATCGGTTTATGGCTTGCACGCACTCATTTATTACGTTCGCCAAACTACAATTTTACAAACGCTTTTCGTGCTTATCTGTAATGTAATATTTTAATATAATAATTTATGTATACAGTACTGTATAGTATATATGTAAATGACAATGTGAGTAGGCTAGAATCGAGTTAGCGACATTGTTTTATAGGTTTTTCGAACGCTTATCCGATTCTGTATTCGATTCGTTTCAATACGCGTAAAAAGAATGTTTGAACTTATCCGGAAAATAGCGGTTCGGGTCCAACCTAACAAGTTCCATTGGAACACGCGAGTTTTGATATTGAACTTTATCCGTGACAAAAATTATTTATATTCCAAGCCTCAAACTTGTACAAAATACAGATAATGACTAAAATCTTAACTTTCGGCGACAGTTTTGAGTTTTTTTTTTGCCTAATTCGCATAAAAAAAATACGATTTTCTGAACATGTAAATTTTGCTTTTAGCCTACTCATTTTATGATTACCTAAATTACCTAATTATAATAATGTTGCTGTGACGGTTGTATAAAATTTCGTATAGACTGTAGGTATTTCAATATGCTCGTGTTGTTTTGTTGTGTTTCAAGTTCGAAACATGAAAACTATATAGCGTGTCAACGCCCGATTTTGGACCCGTTCGACCCAGTGATGATGAGCTTCTTGAAGGAGGAGCCGCCGCTGGTGTGCGATGAGGAAGAGGATTGGGTGACAATCAAAGGTAACATCGCGCGTATCACTGACAAGGCGCTGAAGAAATACGGTGACATTCAGTGTAAATTTATGGGTACGTGTATTTTATAATAACTGCAAAATATTATTGTTATTATTGCTATACAATTATATAATGTATGTTTTATTTGTTGTATAGTTACTGATTTTAGATTCTGTTAAGCGTTTTTTTTTCTGTTTGTAAGTTTTCTATCAGAATTCATGTTCCGATAAAAATACAATGATTTTAGATTTTGAGTGAAGCAAAAAATATTTTGATTTAAAAATTATGTTTTTTTTTTTTATACTGTGTACAAAAATTCTACCAGAAATTTTGTTTTGATGTATCAAGTGTAGCACCTTTTCTGAAAGAAAATTTTATCTAGTTGATACTTTGAGGACATTATTTTTTGATTCTCCAAACAATTTTCATAACAATTTCAAAAAACCAGGAATAAGCGTAGGAAAAATGAGAAAATGTAATAATTGTATTATTTTTAAATTTTATTTACTTTTGTAATTCAGCAGAAAATATTTGTAGAGACTTGAAATTTGGGTCAAAAACTTATAATTGGCTTTTCTAAATGTGGTAAACTTTTAAAAAAAATGTAACTATTTGCTATCTATTTATAGGCATTTTAATTTTGCGAGTTTTTTACGTAATTTGTATTCAGTAGATATGGATGTGGAGAAATTATTAGACCTAATAGATATACTTGAAAATTTAACTATAGATTCATTATAAGTCGTACTTTGTAATAAAAATAAAAATTTGTCTATAATGCATAATTTTATTTTTATAAGAATTTTAATATCAAAGTTTGACGAAAATCGTAAATATTATGGCCTTTCAGAACATGTATAGCCGAACAATGATAAATCTCGTTGCGTACAGATATACCATTAAATCTCTCTCTTTATTTAAATTTTTTTGTACTATTTTGGATCTAGATGGTGCATTAAAGAAGTCTTTTTGAAGTTCTTTGAAATTTCCTTGATAACTGCAGGGAAAAAATAGAAAATTCGGTTAAAAGATGAGATGTGAAATTTTTAAAGAATATTAAAATTAGTTGTTAGACGAGATTAAATTTTAAAAATATTCTTTGATTTTGGAGCTTAAAGGCATTTGACGTACTGTAGTTTTTTAGATTCTAAGCGGAGCGAGGAATGTATTTTAGTTTTTATTCAGTTTTATGTAGATACAATTATTTTGACTACATAAGCGGATGACGAGGCGTGTTGCGTCTGTCTGGATACTACCCGAATATTGTATATAAACATTAATTTTGCTATTATGTTGATATATGACAACAGTACATGTTTTATATTTTTTAAAATTAGCATCACTTTTTTTTTCCTTGATTTAAAATTTAGTTCATAAATTTTGACTTCACTGCCAATTTCGTTCTTATCTTTTACAACTGTGTTACAAATATTATACTGACTTGATTGCAATATTATCCAAGTTATTTATTTATAGACTATGATTATCGACTGAAGATTACAAAAAAACGTTTATGTTTACTTTTTTGTAGTGTATAATATTTAATCAAGTACCTATAATTGATATAATTATTATGAAAACTAATTTAAAGATAGTATATAGAATTAATTATTATTTTGTGTTATTCAGAATTGAAAGGTAATACAAATTGATTGTGAGAGGAGGGGGGATTCTCCTAATTAATTAATTTTTCTCTGTTACGACCCCCCCCCCCGAACTATTAAAGTCTGCGCACGCCTATGAAAAATCAGATGTATTTAAAAATGTTTACTCGTAATTTATCATAAGTTATACTTATAGTTATAAAAAAAAAGTTTAGAGTAATTCATTATTATTTTATAATTTCAAGTTTTAATGAAAATTATAATATAATCACGTCATTTTCTATATAACATGTTAATATTATTATACTTTTTGGTCAAGTTAACATAAAATGTTAATACGAAGGTTATAAGTAATCACGTTGTTTTTAAAATAAGTACAGATATAAATTAAATAACTTTATGTGTCCTATATTTCCATCTTCGTATTTATAAAAGTGGCAGTATCATCTCTTTTACATCAATTTTTTTTTTTAGACGTTCTAAGGGCCAATGAGTTTTCCACATCGCTAGGTGTCGTGACCACCACTCACACCGAATACAATTTGGAGACATCCGATTTTTTCAGGGTTTACTGCGAGTCAGAAAATGGTCAATTTAGGTGAGAGACGATTGAATTAAAATTGTTTTTATAACTACGCGGTGACACTGTAATAGCAAAATAAAAATCTGATGTATGTATATATATATATCAGATTTTTTTTTCACTATATCGCATTTTGAGCAATAAATTTAATGTTGGTGTATACCCGACAATGCAATAAAAACTAGTTTCGGCATAAATTTAATTAACTATACAAAGTACATTTTCATTGTAGCGATCAGTGACGATGCGAAGTATTTTTACATTGAATCACGAATTCCTCCCACTTCACTACACCTTTTCTGTAAACTATTTGATTTTTGTGTATTTGTGATTCAAATATACTGCTTCGCGCCGCCACTGGTAACTTAGGCTTGAAATCTGCAGTTTGAAAACTAGTGCACACGAAAATTAATTTAAACCAATTGTTTGAAATACCAACGTAAATATTATTCTGTTTCTTCTCCTTCGCCTTCGTCCCCCCAATTATTTGGGGTCGATCACTGCGTAAATACGATTTTTTTTTATATAATTTTATTTTGGCTTTGATCACGTATAGTTGGGAAAGTCGAATGGCCGGTATACGTTTCGACGAGGACGTGATAAACAGAGCCGGTTGGGACCGCGTGCCCAAAGACGGGCTGGGCCTAAACGTGTTGATGATTGGATTGGACTCGATGTCACACATGATGGTACAAAGAAAATTGCCGAAGGTGTATTCGAAACTCAAGTCGATGGGAGCACACATACTGGATGGTTACAACATCGTCGGTGATGGTACTCCGCAAGCGTTGATTCCGATATTGACTGGTAATATATAATTGGATTCAACATGATGATGTGTTGTAATTTTTTATTCTATTTTTTTTTTTTTTGTCACAGGACGAACCGAATTGGAACTTCCGGACACCAGGAAACGAATGGGCAGCAAAGCGTCGACCGTGGACGTGTACCCTTTTATATGGCACGAGTTCAAAAAACATGGATACGTTACTGGCAAGTATATCGCATATTCACACATTACAATACAATACATAATGTTCATAGATAATAGAGATATGCACGGATCGTGTTCTAAGCTTATTGGTTTTGTGTGTGATCTGTAAGAATAATGCTATAGTTACCAATAAAATTGCATTAGTTACCAAATCATACGATATTCAGTATATTCACTATTTTATCGTTGATATTTCACAATAATTAACGGTTTAAACTAGCATCGTTATCAATATAACCTTGCAACTCTTTTCTAATCGGTAATAACCAACGTGGTATTTAATGTTCTTTTCCGTCACACGGTGATCTATGTTTAACTAGGTATGACCCATCCAATTCTTTGTTATTTAAAAATATAGTAAGTTTTAAAATTTAATTTTTTCCGTTGGAAACGACAAGAAAATGAGCACTGAATTTTCTGGTAACATAATATTAATTTTGATTTCGTATTATGTGCATAGGTTATGCCGAAGACGTCGCGGACGTTGGCGTTTTTACGTACAGACTGAAAGGATTCGACCAACAACCCACGGATCATTATATGCGAACGTATTACGTGGACGCGACGCCAATGTTCAATCAACAAAAGCCGTTTTGTTACGGTTCGTTGCCCAGGCACAAGGTATAATTGTAGTAAATTGGTTTAAATTTTAAAAAATATTCGTGAGAAAATATTTGTTCCATGGTTTTTGTATTTTTTTCACACTAAAATAGTTAAATGTATCGACTAATAATCGCATGCTTGTCTTTAAAACATTATTGTACCAACACCGTTGTTTGTTTATCCTTGGGTAAATGAAAAGTAATAATAAATAATATAAGTTGTTATGCTCTGTCTGTTATATAAATTAATTACCTATTTAAAATAATTATTTGAATATAATATCGGTCTGGTTTTGTGTTTTGGCTACCGTACTATTTTATTAAAGTCTGCAATATTATACAATAATTCCGGTTTACAGTTTAAAATATTTATACTGGCAACCAACTTACTGACTCTATCTATATGAGCGATTAATTATGATAAAAATTGCCGAAAATTGACTTTTCAATAGTTAATCTTCTATCACAAACTGTTCGCTCGTAATATAATATCCGTCTAACGTAAAAAAATATAGTTTTATTTGATAAACCGCAAGTCTAAACTTTTGCGTCTTCGTTCTTAAATAAAGTCGAATCAATACGCACGTATTATTTTTATCATAGACCGCCTCCGTGATTCGAATGTCATTACTTTGTTTGTTTATAATTTCAGTGAGTGTTCGAGAATTAGGTCTATTAAATTATACAGAAAAATCCAAGACCAACTTTTATAAACTATACAGATTCGTGGCTATTATAATATTAAATTTATATGTAAAATGCGATGAGAATTTTGCGTGTGAAAAGAAAAATATTAATAGTAAAAAACTAACAACAAAAAAAAATAAAAATAAGTCATCGTATCATTAGAGGGCCCGAAACAAATGGAATTTAACGCCCTAAACAATATAGAAGGACACTAATAATACAATGTAAATTTCTTATTATAATATAGCAAATACAGATTATTGAAACTCGGAAGTCGAAAATGGAAGTCCAGCACATTTTTTATTTTATTCAATGGTAAATATTGTTATCGTTTTTATAGATAATGCTAAATTACGTCAAAGACATGTTCCGGGTGTACGAAGACAAACCAAAGTTTATGTTCGCGTTCCACGGCGAGTTATCTCACGACTACGCGAACAAAGTGGCCGTTGCCGAACTTGATTTGGTCGAATGGTTAGAGTGGTTTCAGAGGTCCGGTTACCTGAATAATACCATGTTGGTTTTCATGAGCGATCACGGCCAGAGGTAAAATAAAACTGTGCGTTTTTGACTGAATTTCCAACATGTCTTACTTGCAATCTACCTCCCGATTGTGAATTTTAACGACTCCCTACCCTCCTCATTAAGCTTACCGTAACTCATTGCTGACGTGTTTAAAACTTTAAACGTTTGACCGCAGGTTCGCGTCGGTGCGCGACACGCAACAGGGCAAACTGGAAGAACGGATGCCGTTCTTCTCGTTCGTGTTGCCAAAGTGGTTCGATCGCAAGTACCCAAAAATGGCGGCCAACATGAAGAACAACACCAAGCGGTTGACCACACCGTTCGACATATACTCGACCCTGATGAGCGTTTTGCACAAGGACGGCCCCAGGAACAACAACGTCAACAAACGGTCCATTTCACTGTTCAACGAGGTATATAGAATACAAAAAATATTGTGTACCGTTTTGGGGGTAACTACATGGTAACAGAACGACCGGGACGATGGCGTTCGGTTCCACTTTAATTTACACATTACGACAATATAAAACAACACTGTCGCTCACTTGTTCCATTTTTATGTCTAAGAACAACTGAAAAACACAAAACTATTGCGCATCACCAAAAAAAAAAAAACATCCTCGATTTCTCACATTTACACAAAATACGAGTTATACCCGTTGATAATTTTTTTTTTTTTTTTTTTTTTTTCGAGAAGTTTGTTTAACCATCCCAACAGTTTTTCTAAATAAATTTAAAAAAAAAAAAAACGACAATATATTGGATTTTTTTTTTTTGTTAATTCACGAGGTAGGGAAATACACAATTTTAATTAAACTTTACGATTTTACCGAACCCTGTTCGTAATCTACGAGTATCTTATTCGAACTTCCCGTCTAAAAGAGTGGCCACAGGCCACAGTACCCATAATGCCGTTGTCGACGTTGACTACTTAAAAAGTCAATTTTTCGTACGCAACCGTAGTGTTGTGTTTTTCATGGATAACCATTTAACACGTGCAGCGCAACACCGTATATTGAACGCCCTCTCGGCGTTATTTAAAAACAACGCGGTACGCGTTCGCGTGCTTGCCGGCATCAGATTGCAAACAATTAATAACAGCACGGAAACTGATGAAAAATTAGTTTCCGAGTGTGAAAATTCGGCGAACCCTCCCCCCCGCCACGGGTATTAGGACGTATAATAATGTACATTATGATTATTATGCGTTTTCGGTATATTATGACCGCGGTAACGAGCGGTAATTTACGACCGTTTATTTGTGGTTGATAAAAGAAACAGTAGCTGATAAAAACGTACATATATAGCAATTTATTTTTTAGTTCGAAAACCTACAATTACCGGCGGCGATGTTATCGTGACGGCTCCCGGTTAACACTGCAATAATAATATGTAACAGGAAATAATAATCATAAAATAATAAAAAAAAATTTAATAATAATAATAATAAAAATGAACAAAAACCTAGTCTTATTTTGTTGTGGCATAGTAATCGCAGGGGGCTATAACGTCGCTGGAAAATAATAAAAATGAAATACCGCCGAACAATAGTACCTGTATTACAATGTCTACACAACCGTATAGGTACAGCGTCGTCGGTAATATACGTATCGTAAAAATATCGTGTTGTCATTACGGTCTATAATATATGATACTTTGACGATTCACGAGACCGCCACACGTATTATACAGCTGCACTATAGATAGGTACAGTACCTGTATTGTATTCAATATTTGAACTGTCCAAAATGACGAGAATACCCCACTGCACGCACGCACGTTGTTATGCCGTAATTTTCCATAGTGTTCTCTAGTACTTTTTTTTTTCTAACGAGCTATTATTCATACGGTTTCCGTGTTGTGTTTACGTTCGTATACAATATTATAGTATCAACTTCGAAAATTATTTTTTAAAACCTACCTATATATAATGTTGTGCCACCCATTGTGCGCGTGTTATCCGTCCACGATTGTGATCTGAAAATCATTACATTTCCAAGGCCGTCTGATTTACGTACAATATTGCCGATATTAATCGAACCTAGATTTTTTTTCTTCTATATGTCACGCACTCTAATTTTTTTATTTTAATTTCAACGGTTCGTCGAGTGTTTTCGCCGCGGTCATATACCGACCTGCGACCGAAATTTCCGAGAGGATTTACCGGCGATGCCGTTTGACTTTCGAACAAATTTCAAAAGTGGATCAAATTTCAGGGCGGAAGGGAGAACATTCCGGGTTTTTAAAAGTGCTCCTTGCACAATATTTAACTTTTTTTTTCTTCCATTGAAAAATAAAACATTTTTTTACATTATTTTCTGAAAATATTACCACACACAATTAGTATAATACCGAAATTGCTGTCATTAAAAATAACATTTTACGGCTAACAAAAAAAAAAAAACGAATTAATATAACTCTCCATAAACTCAAGTACTTATTTCGCCGTACTACGTTTTCAAGGACGACAGAGAGCAAATATTTAATTTATTTTATGTTAACAGGAATAAAACAAAATCTATTTTTATCCTCCGTTTAAGTGTTTAAGCCAATTAAAAACTCACTGGAATTGAACAATGTAGACAAAAACGTCGGGTAATATCAATAATATACAATATAGTTTCGACCAACGAAACTCGGCAGGCATTTTAACAAAACGCATATTACGCTTACGAATATTCGATTAAACGGAATTCTTTAACGCGTCTAAACATTTATACGATCAATAGACAGTGGAAGATATCGGAGGGAAGGGCAATTGGTAAATCCCCCCCTTGAGATTTTCGTCGCCGCTACCATACAATTTGATAAATTGTACCTCATTATTCCTATGGGTTTGAAACTGGCCCCCTCTCAACTGGGATGTATCCACTACTGCAGGTAGTGAGTATATATAATGTAATTTCATGTAATAACCTGGAATCGGAAGTAATACGGTAGTATTACTTCCGTAGTAAAAAGTTTCTTTTTTAGCGCATTAATAGACATTTCAAATCACTAAAAATATGCACAATACAATTTTTCAATTAAATGTTACGAAATTAAATCCGATAATTATGTAATACAATGTAACTGACACAATTTTAAAAACCGCCTAATTGTTGCAAACTAACAGAATTATTGTCCAATAACTGTCTTTTTCAGATGCGTTTATTCGTATTTACTATTTTTTGAATATCAAAGCGAAATAGCTAAATTAGCAAAATAGCTTTATCATTCCTAAATATTCAAAGAAATTGTAACTCTAAATTAGCAGATAAGCTCTAAGAGTCATAACTATGCAGAAATTTGAAACGAAAAATTGTGTATACGATATCAGTGGAGTATGAAACGATTTATCTCCAAAAATAATATGCAAAATATGCTAATACTCCGTTCCCTTATAATATACCATGTACTATTGTAATACACCGTTTCTTTACAATTTTCAACGTCGTGTATAACGAAAAACCGACTTAACGTTATCGAATCGTATTATTATAAGATACTGAACTTTGTTATTTTGAACTCAATCGATAACGCATTTATTAATGAAACAAATACAGAAAAGGTTATTATATCTGAATGTTTATGTCGCACGCTATTGAATAGTTTATGATTTTGTTCGTCGTACCTATTATGTATAGACGATAAGCGTATTATTAAATCATGAACGGGTGAAGGAATTGCGTACAGCGGTGGATATAGGTTTTTTTTTTTTTTATAGTGGTAACTATTTCACTATTAATGTTTCTCGGGTAATTATTATGTACGACTCCGATGCAAAAATAAAATCAATTTGAGGCTTAAAGGGCCAAAAAATTTAATCGCGCAATGTACATGTATTTCGGTTACTGTGTAGGAAGATACGAGCTCCCAAAACCTCGGTTTTGTTATGCATTTTATCACAATGAAATAAAATGAGTAAACGAAACACACGTTTTTTTTTTTTTTTAAATAATTGCCTTTACTATATTATATTTTATAATGATATTAAAACTAACGTGGTTTATAAATTATACGAAGGTTCTGTATTTCAGCACTCTGACGCCTGACTGCCGTACCCGCGTAACCGGCAGCAGTACTCGCCAGAATCAGAATCATATTTCGTTAGCGATGGTTTATCGTTGCTGACAGATTTAAATTGCATAGCTTTGTGAATCCTACCTTCCCAACTTCCCACCTACTATAGTCCTCGGTATCAGCTCATTTTATTTTATTTGTTTATCCTTCAGAACTACTCGCAATAAAAATCTATGGAACCACAATAAGAATTTATCATAAATATTGTTCTTTAATTTTTTTTTTTTTTTTAATAACCCAGTCGAGGCTTCAATTAATACGTTTAATTATCTCATATAATATTTAAGCTATTTATAATATGAAGAAAAATAGTATAATTCACGGAACTGCTGATGCTTCAGTTCCCAAACCCCCCCCCCCCCATTAATCCTCCACTAATTGCGACTGTCGTACCTAATGATGATGTGTTAATAATTAATTAGATTTTTTAGATTCTCAGCGTAGCATTATGATGTTCTGCTTTCTTTTCTGTCAGTTAACCGTTTTCATATCGGAAATCTTGCTCCAATCATCAATCGTTAGGAGTGGTTTCTGGTAGTCAATTTTTTTTAGTCTGTGCACCGGGAAGATCATAATAAAATGATCACCCTAGATTTTTGATTTGTTTATTCACGTATTTTGATATCAAGTAGTTTCTGTTCTCATACCAATCGGTGTATTATATCATGTTTACAGATACCGTTACAGAGGTCATGCCGGGATGCTTACATTGAACCTCATTGGTGTGCTTGTCTTAAGTGGCAACCGATTGACGTGGACAGTACGCTGGCCTCCGGAGCGGCCTCAAAGTTTACTCAGTTTCTCAATAAGTAAATCCGTCTCTTTTTTTTATCTCTAGCAGTTTTTCGACGTTTTCTTAAACTAAATCTGAATGCTTTAGATACAATGGTGAGTACACCGACCTCTGTAGCCCTGTTGAGGTGGACCGGATCGAGTGGGCGACAAAGATGGCTCCAAACGAAGGTTTGCTCAAGTTCCACCAGGCTGCCGATACCGACGGATTCGTGCCGGACATGTCGGCCAACACCAAAGTGACCGTAGTGTACTTGCAGCTCAAGGTCGTCACTCGACCAGCCAACGCCATTTTCGAGTTTTCTTGTCAGTATGACAGCGAAACCAACAAGTACATGTTTTACGTGAGTGTAATTTTATAATAATAATTATTATATTTTACTCCAAATTCGAGAAAATTAACCAGAAAGAATAAGTTCTTTAAGAGCCAAAAACAGTAAAAAATTTTACGAAAAATAATCCGTTAAAATTTCGGTTTCATTAATACATAAAACAAATAATAATAATTCTATTTGTATGTAAAATTAAGTTAATTCAGTTATTTGCTGCAAACATTTTATTATTATAAAACCATAGACCTCTTTTGTAAATTCACTCTGAAATTCAAACCGGGAAATAAAAATGACTATTCGTTCAATATGTGGCCTATATGTGTTCAATATAACCTGCTAAGCGAAAATCTAGTTGAGTTTATGTGACCAGCTGTTACCTTGTATAAAATGTGACTTACCAAAACGAGACTTTAACGTAATGTCCTAGGGAAAATAACTATACCTAGGACACGGATTTTTATGTACACATATAATTTTATTGAATTTATCTAATTGTGAATAATAATATGCCCATTGTATAACACCCTGTGTGAAATAAAAAACTTTTTTTATTTTATGGTATATGTTTTCACATAATATTTTGTTGTAAATACGTACTTTAATGATTTTTAATATCGGTTTAACAGTTTAGTATTCAGTTCTTTATACAGATCGTTTGTGCATTTAAGTGAACCATAATTTGTATTGGTTAAATTTATATTTTTGACGTATATTAAATACATGCCGAAAATCCCGTCAGCCAAAAAGAGCAAAAGTAACTTGGTACTTTTTAACATTTCCTAAGGAAACTTTTAAATGTGATGGACACGTGTAACTTTGTTAATTTAAAAATGCTTTGTGAAATGGGAAATGTTTTTAAAACCTTTGAGACCTAGCAATTGTACATTTAAATTTTAAAATCTCCAAATATATGTTGTATCCAATTGTTTCTAAGAAGACAAATAAATAGAATTAATTAAAATACGTATGTACTTCACACGTGAGTGTAGCCACTGTTGTAGGTGGGAAGTTAAAGAGTAGGATTTAGACGGGAATTAATGTAAATCTGTAAGAAACGATAAATCATTACTTGCGAAAAAACTTTTCTGAGCAGAGTTCAGTTGATAGTATTGCTTTATCAAAAATATATATGTTATATTATGGTGAAATACTTACATACCTTTTTAAATAAAAAAATACAAGGGTAATGGTTATGGTGTGCAATAAGACAAATCCTATTTTGCTCAATATAAAAATAGATAACGCACGCATAGAACAAGTATATCACTTTAATTACTTGGGAAATAAAATAATAGTAGATGAATGAAGCGAAGATGTCCTTCTAAATAGAATAGCACAAGTAAAATAAGCTTTTCAGAATAAAAAACATCTTTTAACCATTAATAGTGTGATCTTATAGGTAAGGAAAAAGTTCCTCAAAATATATGTCTGGAGTATTGCCTTATACAGCTGTGAAACTTGGACAACCAGTACAGTAGAGAAAAGGAAACTAGAGGCCTTCGAAATGTGGTGTTATCGTGAAATGATAAAGATTAAATGGATTGAAAGAATAACAAATGAAGCAGTATTAGATAAAATAAAAGAAAAGAGAGAACATTGATATACCATAAAAGTTAGAAGAGATAAAATGATAAGACATCTACTACGCCATTATAGCCTAATGAAAAGTATCATAGAAGGAGATGTTGAAGGTCATATCGAAAGAGGAAGACCAAGGTTGGAGTATATAAACCAAATTATGATATACATGGGGAAGATTAACTATAAGGAACTAAAGGAACTAAGTAACGATAGGGACGTTTGGAGATCTACAACAAACCAATCAAATGATTGAAGACATAAAGAAGAGAAAAGAAAAGATATATTTAATAAACCTATATATCTACAATACTTTATTTTATATTATGATTAAAAGTTGCTTGACTTGCTGTAGTGTTGATTTGTCTTAAAGCTATACAAGTAAATAAATAAAAACCTACAGATAACCATCATGACCTTATTCTATAAATGCCAATAATATTATTATGCTCATTATCAACAGTTTTCAGTGCACATGTGTTTTGTCATTGGTTCATCATGTATTAAATAAAAGCAATGCAATAATAATCAGGAATTCAAATTCATTGGGTCATTGGGAAACATTTTTCATAATTCCTAATATGGATAGAGCACACATTCTAGTAGTTCACGTATTAAACGAATACCATAATATGTAATGTGATAGAACAGATAATCACTGATTACCTGACACTAGCAAATTGCTGCTAGGTGACAGCATTAATTGGGTAATCAATAAAGATGCAATCCTTCTATTGTTTTATCAGAATTTAGCTCTCATATGTTGGGATAAATTAAAATTACACCCTTTTAACTTTATTTCAATTTTTCCCACACATCGGCTAATGGCTACAAAGTTAATAATAATATTAATACTAATATTACTAACAAAATAATGTGTGTTTGCAGGAAAAAGACATCAGCAGAATCAACAAATATGGTGATCAAGGCTGGTGTATCGCAAATTCCCAACCCCAACTCAGTAAGTACTGTTACTGCAAACAACAAATTTGAAACAATTCCATATCTACATCAAATTACTATTTTGAGTGCAGTTCTCCGAATGTGGCTGATAGAACTCTCTTTGGATTTTTTGTGGGTATTTTTATTTAATGCTTTCTAAACTATAATTTTTTTTTACTATTACTATTATTAGTGTATATAGTATTATCATTATTACAAGTATGCCAATACTCCTAGTCGTCTTAACTGAATCTTTAGTCATATTTTGAGACTGTTAATCTAAATACGACTATGTTAAGCCTAACAACTACTAGGGCATAATATTATTTTTTTTTTGTATTTAACTCAACCAGTTTTATTTGTAAGTAAAATATGTTATTATTCCTCCTAAATGTTTTTAGTTGTTTTTTTATTTGTTTTTTATTTGTTTTCTATTTTTAAAATATAAAATGTTGTTATATATTTACAATACTGTTTGTAAAGTATAACAATTATTGCCGCAAAACCCAGCGCATTATATAACCTCAAATCTCGTCCATTTTTGTTATGAGGAGTTATATTTTTCAAATGATTTTTATTATATTCTAAGATAATAATTTATTTGAATTAAAAAAAATATGTATCCTTTCCAATCTAAACATTATAAACTATTGTCGGTAACATTTATGAAATGTATTTTGGTTCTTAGAAGCTTTTCAAATAAAGAATAATAATAATAACTATGTAATGATTAAACATTCCAAATGTTTATGAAAAATTGTATGTTAAATTTTTACTAACATGTAAAAATTGATTTTAGCAAATGTCTAGTAACTATATATAAATAATAATATTGTTATTTGAAAGTTCTATTAATAGAATTTGTTATTAATATTTTGTTTTTAACCAAAGGAAGAGAAAAATTATTTGTGTAATATTTATTATATATATTACTATTATTATTATTATTATTATTATTATTATTATTATTATTATTATTATTTTTTTTTTTTTTTAATACAAATAATCTGTGAGTAATTTTGTTATTATTCAAATTATATATTTGAGATAGTCATATCGACTGATTTTACTGTTTTAAAAATGATTAATGAGAATGATTATAATGATTATAATGATTATTTGAGAATGAATGTTAACATAAGGGTTTGGGTTTTCACACCAAGAATAAAATGTTTTTATATTATCTTATAGAAACCAGAAAACAATATTGTGTTACCTTGGAGAACAATAAATTCTGATTTTAATTTCTCCCTAAACAATAACAGTAAAAATCTATAAAAATTGATTTAGCTTTAGATTTTAGTATAATTAACAATGGTAAAAACCAAAAAGAAAAAAGAACTGATACTGGATACCCATGAAGTATGCCACTGTTGTAAACAGAAAATTAGGAAGGTAGGATATATGAACAAAGAACTTATTTAATTTATATCTATAGGAAATGATAAATCCATTAGTAACGAAATATGATTATAAACAACTTTGTTCATGTTTTGAAATCCCATTATATTTAAGATTTTTATCAGAATACAATTAAGCTGCTACCTAATTACTACCTACATCAGCCTTTTTTTGTTTGCAAGTTTTTAATGTAATTTTTATTTGGTAGGTATTATGTGGAAATATGTGTTTGACTAAACAGAAACAATTGAAAATTTATTATAAGTTGAACTTAGTGGTAAAAAAAAAAAATGTGATGTAGTCATTTTCTTTTATAATGGTTTTAATCTCAAATTTCGATGAAAATCGTAAATATAGTAATATTTACTACTTTTAAAATCATATTATACTAACGAACTTCTCTCAGAATCTTTTTTTCGTTATCAATGGTTTATCGTTGCTTACGAATATAAATTAACTAACTTTAAGTATTCCACCATTCCAACTTCCAACAGTAACACACCCATCAGCAGTATCAGTTCCTTTTTTATTTGAAATGGTAAAATACAATATTTAAAACTGGCGAACGCGTCTCTTTATTGCCGTTACGTCAAATAACTCGAGTGACTATTTTTAGATAATCGAATATCGTCATCTGTACATTTTCTTTTTTTAATGATGGCGTAGCACTCGCCGTCATAAGACATCATATAATGTTTAATGAAAAAATATAGAAATAATTGCTGCTCTCGTTTATTGCTATTTAGTTTAGCAATTTAATTTAACAAGCCAAAATAATAACGATAATAAAAACATTCGTTATAATATATCCCTTCCAGTCGAAATACCGGTCGTTGGTCATTGTTTATTTAATTTCTGCACAACTCGTTTTAACGTCATATTTTATTATTTTACAGATTATTAGCTGTGAATCTATGGCCCCATTTGTGTGGGATAACGGGTAAGAGGAAGCATATTTTTTTTTTATTATTATTATTAAAGATAAGCACAGTCCAAGGTGTTGACGATATTTTTTGCCGATCCGGACGAAATTGTGTTCTTATATATTCTTATCGGATATTAGTTTTACTAAGATGTGTGATTTATTTTTCTCTTTGTTACCAACTTCCCTACTAGAAAACTTGCACCAATCAAAAAATTACAAGACAGTTTTTGTACAGCTTTTTGGATCTAGTTGGTACATTGAACATTTCGATTTTTGATGTTCCTTGTAGTTTTCTTGATAAATAGGAAAAAACTGGACATTTTACGGAAAAAACTGTTTCATTATTGTCGATATTGTTTTTAGTTGTTACCCGGTTAAAAATAATCGTAGATACATGACATCACGATGACTGATCGTAGAATTGAACAGAAAACTAAAGTGTATTATTACTTGAAACGCAATATTATTAATAACAGCATCCAATAGTCTTAAAATAAGATAAAATGAATTTATACTAGGTATATATGTGTATGTTTATTAAATCTATTGTTATTGTCATTGTGGACTGGTTCCATTTATCAATTTTCATTTATACGAACGCGATAATGTCCGTTAATAGGAATTGATGGGATATCAATCAGATTACATGGCACGTATAATGTACCTAACGATAATTACTCGATATTAGTGTATTAACTCATTTTTTATAGTTATTTATTGCCTTTTCCTGAATCTAATTTTTATATCCGTGGGATATACAAAAAAATATTTTATTTGTTTTCTAAAATAATTAAAAAATTCAAGAAAATGCGAAATGGTGTTGCGATCGACCTGCCGTATATCATACATGATAGACTGATACGTACCTTACCGTTTTATGCCTACGAGTTATGCACTTAAAATTACTGTCAAGTCTATTAAGTTGCCTAAACGTTGTGTACCGTGGTTATGTTTTAGACACTGAGCGTAGTGTATTTTATTATGATTTTTTTGCTGACATTAAAACTATAATAAACTATATATATAATATTGTTTAACAGAAATTTGCTCCGCCCGTCAATTTTGGAGATAGTTTCTCATAACTTAATACATTGAGGAGGCCATTTTTTGATTTTCCTTGTTCAGTTTCCGATATTTTCGATTTTATTATATCGTAATTCAGTTTAAAATAATCATACCGACCTGATATTTTCACATAATCGCTACTATATTAGGCTTTTTAGACACGTTAACTTTTTGGGGGCAGTGTAGTAAAAAGATCTATTGGTAGATGTATTGGTTTTACTAAGATGTTTTTTTTTTCTTTTTTTTTTTTTATACTGTGTATAAAACTTCGTCCATAAATCTTGCTCAGATATATACGCGCGGCACCATTTCTGAAAGGAAATGTCTAGATGGTACTTTTGGGAGGTTATTTTTGATTTTTCAAGCGTTTTTGATAATATTTGAAAAAAATCAGAATACAATGTAAAAAAACGGGTAATTTACCAAAATAATGCATTTATTGTTTTTCCATTTTGTTATTTATTGTAATTCAGTTAAAAATATTTATAGGGACTTGAAATTTAGACAGAAAACTTATATTTGCCTTTTCTAGACGTAGTAAAATTTTCAAAACATTTAGGCCACTTTTGGACTATTTATAGAAATTTTAACTTTGCGAGTTTTGTACGTAATTTTTATCCGGTAGGTAATCGGTGGTAAAATTGTTAAACTTAACATAAATGCTTAAACATTTTACAGCAGGTTCATTAAAAGCCTTCTTTTGTGGTCAAAAAAAGTAATATTGAGTTTAATGTAGCCTTTTTTTTCATAAAGGAATTTTAATGTCAAATTTTGACGAAAATCGTCGAGTAAAAAATTATACGAAACAAATCTAATTTTTTAGTTTTTTTTTTTTTAAAAACACGTATATTGCCGATTTAAAAACGAATGTCAAAACGATGAAGTCAAAATTCAGTGAACTGACTAAGTTTTTATGACTAAGAAATTATAGCTTTTTGAAGTTCTGATATTATGTGGATATTATATATGTTTTGTTAAATTACTAAATATTGTCTTCTTTAAACTATGTTTGTTGTAGTTAAATGGTTACACATCCTTATACTTTCACCCTAGGTTTCGCGAGTTCGAACCTTCGTTTCGAAAAATAATTTTATAAAATTCTTTTTCTCTTTTACATAAACAAGGTAAAAACAAATGCATTTTCGGTGTGCCTAGAGACCCAAGTAATCGCTCGCTCGGACTATATTAATCGCAAAATACCCCTTGATTTGTTATGCAAACTTTTTTACCAAAAATCTTGCTCCGATGTATCAAGTGTAGCTTGTTTTCTGACAGGTAATTCTATCTCCATAGTAACTTAGGAAGCTCATTTTTTGATTTTCCTGGGAAAATCTTGAAAAACAGGAAAATTTAAAAAATACATTAGTAAAATATTACAATTTTTTTTTTCTGTAGACAACTTTTCTACCAGAAATTTTGCTGCGATTTACAATAATATCGATTTTTTTAAAAGAAAATCTGACTGAGGAGGTACTTTAAATAGATCATTTTTTGATTTTCCTAGGAGTTTTCCCAGCAAATGTGAAAAACCGAGAAAACCACGGGAAAACGTAGAAAAAACGGGAAAATCGGTACAATATTAAATAAATATTAATGAAGAAAATATATAATGCCTATTTAATTATTTTACCATAATATTACATATATATTGTCGAAAAAGCATCACTATCAACTGAACTGTGCTCAGATATACATTTAATTACTTATAACAGTGGCTGCACCCGATCCCATTATCCTAGGACGTCTTTTTTTTTATGGAATACGCGAAAATTGTTTCATTGTAAAACATGTTTATCGGAATTTTGCTCGAGATCGTTTGTCATTAGCACAGAATATTGATTTGTCGTTGCATAGATATTATAAATTAAGTCAATCTATTTATCTGACCTTCCCAACTTCCCAGCAATTTTCTTTCTAGAACTTCAAAAAGTTGAATAATTGGCCTATACAACCTAGAAAGGTTTTACATTTTAATTATTTTGTAATATACTATATAGGTACCAAATTTAAAAGTACTAAACGCATTTTTAAAGTGTTTAACAATTGTACACTTATTGTTGACTGATACAAAAAAACAAAACTATGTAATCAAAATTGTATAGGTATTTACTTTATTTCTAATAACTCAAGACGATAATATTAAACATCCTTGTTTGCCTCTACTCCAATACTTGGGGTCATCCTCACCCTAAACTGACCCAATCCCTTTATCTTAGTCGATTTTCTCTCATTTTATCCCCTATCGAAGCCACACCCAAGTTACCTTGTACTACCTTACTACTTTACTACTTTGATACGTATTTATTTTTAATATAATAATATTCTTAATGACATTAAACATAATTTTTTTAAATTATACGAAAAACCGAGCAATTAAACATGTTTACGTTAGTCAATAATGATATTTCTATGGGATTCTAGAAATTTGCTATGCGCTGATGGAGTTATGAAAAATCTTAATAAAATTGGTGTTCTTCTGAACCGTGTGTTGTTAGTGAACTAAACA